GCTGAAGATTCCTGCCCCCAAGAATGACAAGGAGGTAGATCTAAAACAATCTTGTGAACTATAGACAGTTGACTGTGGTGAGGCTGTGTGCAGCTCTTGTTCCTGCGTTAGATCTTCAGGTGGAAAGAACCTCAAGAATGTCTGAAATAAAATATCCCTGTCAATGAAGCTGGGATTCAGAGTCGTATTTCATTTATGGAAAACAAAGAAATGCAGTATTTCTTGCACACTGAAAGTGTAAACTGATTCTAAGAAAAGAAAGCAAAACTTGAAAAACAAACGGCTAACAATTCCCAGGATTTTGGATATAATTCTGCCCATAGGTAAGAGCGAGATATCTTATTTCGTTATCTTCTAGTTTTAAGTTTCCATGATTATTTTACTCGTCCTCTTTTCTCAACTTTATTTTTTACAAGAGTTTATAATTAAGTAGCAGCTCTCATATTGTTTGACCTTTGCTGCTACCCTGTGGCTTTCTTTCATCACTGCACATGAAAAGAGGGCATCTTGGAACTTCTGCTGAGCCATCACAACAGGGACAAGTGCAAGGAAAGCATATTGTTCAAAAACTCTTGCAGAATGTCCAAGACGGTCACTCACAGTAATTCTCAGGATCTGAGGCATGAAGCTAGTATATGCCGTGTACTGTCTCTTATGTGTAAGTACTTGTCCTTTAAAGTCTTAGTCTGTGTCTAACCTTGTTTTAGTATTCCCCATTCCTCATCCTAATTCAGATAAAAGGAGAAAAGATTGAAGTTGTCAAGGATTTCTTTTTACTTGGATCCACAATCAACACCCACGGAAAGCAGCAGTCAAGAAATCAAACAACACATTGCACTGGGCAAGTCTGCTGCAAAAGACCTCGTTGGAGTGTTAAAAAGCAAAGATGTCACTTTAAGGACTAAGGAGCACCTGACCCAAGCCATGGTGTTTTCAATCTCCTCATATGCATGGGCAGTGAATAAGGTAGACCAAAGAAGAGTTGACGCCTCTGAATTATGCTGTTGGTGAAGAATATTGAATATACTCTGGGCTGCCAAAACAACAAAATCTGTCTTGGAAGAAGTACAGCCAGAATGTTCCTTAGAAGCAAGGATGGTGAGACTATGTCTCACATACTTTGGACATGTCATCAGGAGGGATCAGTCCCTGGAGAAGGACATCATGCTTGGTAAAGTAGAGGGTCATCGACAAAGAGGAAGACCCTCAAGGAAATGAGTTGACCCGGTGGCTGCAACAATGGGCTGAAGCATAATAACGATCATGAGGATGGCGCAGGACCAGGTAGTGTTTTGTTCTTTTGTACATAGGGTTGCTATGAGTTGGAACCGACTCAATGGCACCTAACAGCAACAACAATTTCACCAATGAAATCTCGTCATACACTTATTATGACCATTAGTAAAGCCTCTATTACTGATAGGAGATAAAGATACTTGAAGTGCTGCTAGTAGCTGATTCCAAGCTCCCCATGTCACCAGGCTGGTAGTAAATCCATTTTCAGTTATAATTAGGCCCCATCTCCAGGGTCACTTCAGAATTTGCTTATGTCACCTTGAAACTTGAGAAGGTCATTATATCTCCAGTCCATCATAGCAATGAATCATTTGTAGTATTTATTACATAGCATATAATGATCTCAATATGCATTTTTTTCTTACTCTGCAGTGAGTTTCTCTAAGAGAGGAATCCTGTTTTATTAGTTTTGTATGATAGCATGAAATCTAGTGCCTGTCACATAGTAGGTACTTGATTAAATACTTGGGGAATGAATCTTCTGGGTCCAGGTGATACAACTAATGATTTGCAAAAAGTATGCTCACTCTAAAAATACTTTTTTCCATCATGATTTCCCTATGAATAAGAAAACAGGACTAGAACTAAGTGGCAGAATTTATTATAATTCTGTTGGCTTGTTTCCTTTAGCCACACACCTGATTACTTCTCTGTTCCATGCCCTGGCTTGATGCTTACTTTAAAGGCTAATTGTAATGGTTATTACACTCTGAAAATGGTTTTACCTGAACTTTTTTTTTTTCCATCAGGATAGGGCCTCTTGTCTAAGGTGAGTTGTAGAGACAACATGGGTTGAGCTTAGGAGTGTGGACTTGGAAGCCAAAATTCTTGGTACTGAATTCTGGATCTGCCACTTACTAGCTGGCAACCTTGGCAAATTACATCAAATAACCTCCCTCGAGAAAATTACATCTCTCTATGCCTCAGTTTCCTCATTAGTTATAACTCTATAACCCTTTTTCATAGGGTTAATAGGTTAAAATCTGTGAAGCATTTAGAACAGAACCTGGCACAAAAGTGATGGCTTTTATCATTTATTATTCCCCAGCCTGGACACAGAGGTAAGATTGCACGAACTTCAAGGTCCTTCCAAGTTCTTAGCTTTTAATATCCATGCTCACTTTCTGTCAACGTAAATGATATTGTAATTCTAGTGCTAAATTAAGACTAGGACTCCTTGGACTTTCCCAGAGGATCTCCAGGCTCTAAATCCTCCTGTTTTAACTTCCTTCCTACTACTCTACAAACTCCTCCTGAAGCTTCTGCCTCCTCCTTCATATAACAGACGATTTCAGTACTTACCACAAAGAAAATATAAACTAAAAAATATTATGGGAGCTCTGATTTCTTCATCTGAATACCTTCTTTATACCTATCCTTTGATCCTTGCTCAAAGTTCCAGAAGAAAGAGCTCTAACATATAGCGCTCTGAGCCTTATATATTCTTTCTTCTGAGAAAATTTGCTTCTACATATATCACCCCTTCAACGTATTCGGTCTCTGATCTGTCATTGAATCTAAGACCCAAGATTAACTAACTGATTGATTGCTCTTTTTAAAAAAATTATTTATTTATTTATTATTGTACATTAGATGACGGTTTACAGAACAAACTAGCTTCTCATTAAACAATAAGTACACATATTGTTTTGTGACATTGGCTATCAACCCCAAGACCTGTCAGCACTCTCCCCTTCTTGATCTTGGGTTCCCTATTACCAGCTTTCCTGTCCCCTCCTGCCTTCTTGTTTTTGCCCCTGGGCCGGTGTGCCCATTTAATCTCCTTTTGTTTTATGGACCTGTCTAATCTTTGGCTGAAGGATAAACCTCAGGAGTGACTTCAGTACTGAGTTAAAAGGGTGTCTGGGGGCCATACTCTCAGGTTTTCTCCAGTCTCTGTCAAGCCAGTAAATCTGGTCTTTTTTTGTGAGTTAGAATTTTGTCCTACATTTTTGTCCTGCTCTGACCGGGACCCTCAATTGTGATCCCTGTCAGAGCAGTTGGTGGTGGTAGCCAGGCACCATCTACTTGTGCTGGACTCAGTCTGGTGGAGGCTGTGGTAGTTGTGGTCCATTAGTCCTTTGGACTAATCTTTCCCTTGTGTCTTTGGTTTTCTTCATTGTCCCTTGCTCCTGACGGGGTGAGACCAATGGAGTATCTTAGGTGGCCGCTCACAGGCTTTTAAGACCCCTGATGCTACTCACCAAAGTCTGACTGATCACTCTTAGGAGTCAATAGCTGATTTGGCTCTGAGGACACATAACTCCCATTTCAGTTCAAGCCCCAAATTCATTATTCTACCTCCCAATGTAAGCTATCCAACTTTCTATTTCATCATTTCCCTTTAATGTGGAAAGTCTCTTCTAGTCAAGTCAGTCTTTTATTTTCTCCTAAAATCTACCCTTTGGCTTTTTCTTAGGGTAGCCCCATTACCAAACACACTTTATACCCTTTTAGTACATACTTTGAATACTGTTTTCTTTTCCAATGCTTTCTTCTTTTCCAGCAGGCCTTACTTGAAGCCTACTCAGACCAACATCACTATAACATTTTTCACATTCTATAGTCCCTCGTTCTTTGATTGCTCTGAATTTTGATCTCTGGATTCTATTGGAAATCATATGGGTATATAATAAATACTTATTAAATGAATGAGGAACCAGTGATAATGGTTGACCAGAAAAAGACTTTATTCACCAAGTCTTCGGAAAGACAAAACCCTTTTCTTCCATATTCTGCAGGGACTTCAGCAAAGCAGTTTTTGTTGATATGGTCTTTAAGCATTTCCTTGATCTTTGACAGTGGAAATAAAAGAAAATTAAGGTGGACTTAGGTTTTCCGAGCAGTAAATATCCCTTCTCTTATATCTGGGTAGCATTGTGCTTAATGACACCCAATTAGTACAGTAGAAAATGAGATCCATTACAGATAACTACCCAATAAGCAATCCTATGAACTGTCTGAGGTTTGTCAGAGTCAGGCCCTCTCGATAAATGTATTTTTCTATAGTAATATGCAGTGTGAGCAATATGAAGTCTATGAAAACTATTTAGTCAGAATTCTGTGGAGGTGGAGGTTTGAGGGACAAGCCAAAGGGTTCTGACTGCATTTAGAAGAAGTGCTAATTGCTTACCTTTGCTGCAGGGAGCATTGTACTCAGCAATTGCAAACTCATCTGAAAAAAACAAAACAAAAAAACCCCCAAAAATCATTAGGTGAAGGGAGAGGGAAAGCAAACATCTGTGCGATACAGATCAGTGAAGGGACCTTTATTGTGTGAAGAACTGCATCCTCTCAAGAACGTTAGTATCAGTCATTTGATTCATTGCTTGCTGTCTTATATTGTTACCTTTTAAATATGTTCTGTTTCCCTTTAGCCTATACCTTTGGAGGATAGTTCAGATGTTATACTTTTTAAAAACTCATATTGTCCTACAGATGTTTTGTATTAGTAGTTGATACATTCATGCTCTAGGTAGTTTCTACAATGTGTGTACAGAAGACAAAGAAAGGAGAACCAGAGTTTATGGAGACAAAATGAAGTGATAAGAACATTTAATGTCATAAATCACCCAACACATTTATCAAGTCAAAATTTCCGTGATCAGGGATTTAGTTTCCATGTGAAAGTCTCTCACTCACCTGTCTCATAGTAATCATAGACTTTCACTATGGCTGGTTTTAGATCTCTTACTGGGATGTCCTGCGCAACTATGAAGGACAAGCTCAGTGTCTGATTTGTCACCTAGAAAGGAAAAGGGAATTAAATGACCTTCCATGGACCTTTATTTGCTCCTTTTTGGATAAGTTTAAGTATTCATCTGTTTTTGGGAAAAAAACTTTTTTTTTACATCAACTAATGGCACACTACAGAGTCCTTAATGGTACAGGAAGCCCTTAGAGTAGATGGATGAAAAATTCCCCAAATTGTTTCTTAAATCACTAAAAGAACTCATATACCCCCATGAATGCCAGTGCATGGCTCTGTTCCTAGGGGTGAACAGCACATGCTTCTATTGGTTTACTGTTGTTGCTAGGTGCTGTTGAGTTGGTTCCAACTAGCTATGTCCATTTTTAAATATCCAGAGATTTGGTACCGTTTCACTCCTCTATCTTGTAAAAATAGTGTGCTAACTCATTACAGCCTTAAGTCTCATCAAATTTGTAAACTATGGTATCCATCAATATAGAAATGAATAAACTATGCTATACCATATAGCTATAAAATCAGATTAATTTATTGATTAGAATGGCTTTGCTATTTTATGGTGGAAATCTATGTTCAGATTGACAGCATTTCCCTCTTTTTATATGGATGAGATACGGTCACGTTGATATAATAATTGACTAATTTTCAGATGGCTTCCTTAGAGAGATTATTACTTATATTTTTCCCAACTAGACTAACAGGGCTCTCACCTTATCCAGGTAAATCAAGACATGGTTGTTGCTGACTTCTGTCCTGCTCACATGGTTAGATCTTTCAAGCTGAAGAAAATTAAGGAGTCACAAATGTTAATAAATTGACGTAACCCTCAGGGACCGAGGGAGAAAAGAGTTTTTATTACCAAAATAAGCTTGAGGATACAATTTTTTCAAAAGTTTCCTGTAAGTAAAGACAATAATGTGAAAATCTAAAATGAAAGGTAATTTGAATGCAGGGTTTAATATTAGTATGACACATGGCCTATGTGTAAAGTTGATTTATCTGAAGAAAAGGGAACTAAACATCCTAGACTTGGGAATAACTCATATTTTAAGATTCAATTCACATTCTATTCCTCTATGAATGAGGTGTTTTTTTTCCTTGTTCTAACTTATAATGATCTCATTTTTTCTCTGAACTTCTGTAAACTTATAGTTTATGTCAATTTGTCATTTTCATATTTTTTTTACTAGTTCAAGTGTATAAGCTTTATCTTCTTAATAAGGTTCTAAGTTCTTTGGAAGTAGGAACCTACTGACATTTTCTTCTAGTTGTCATGGCACCTCACAGAGTGCAATGCAAGTGGTGGGCACCCATACAAGCATGCTAAATTAAATTTCTGAATTTGAAGAAAGTATAATTCTTTGATAGAGGCTGATTTAGTATTATTTTAATATTAGCATTTTATTAGTCTAGGGATACACAAAACATTAAATAAAATAGGATTTCTTAGGCTTATAATAAACCTACCGCTCTCACTGTTGGTTTCAGGGGAATGAAACCAGATACCATCTTCACATCAGCAATCACCATGTTGGAGACAGGGCGGCTTCCTTTGTAACTGAAGATCCAAGGAAGGAAGGAATTAGGATTTTCTGTGTTATTAAACATTCTCTTTTTCTGTGTCCACAGTAAGTATCCAACATCTCTGAAAGCTGCATATAAGTCTTCCCTAATATCCTACCTCAATGATTTGGAGAACTGGCTGTGCATCTGAATTGTCAGGGCTCTTGTTAAAGTCACAGAGGTCAGGCCCTACTCTAGACCTGCTGAACCAGAATTTCAAGTGTGTGGACCCTGAGAATCTGTGTTTTAAGAAAGCTTTACAAGTGATGCATAGCCTGGGCCTGAGACCTCTCATTTATGTCAGTTATTTGTTATATACATTTTATCTTGATGTTTTTCCTGAATATTATCTCTAACCAAGTTATATTATCCTTTGTGGATAGATACTTTTTTTGGTAATTTCAGTAACTACTTGAATGTTGTCATATATGTTTGTATTTTCCTGAAGTTATTATTTTATATATAATCTGAGATGTATTTATTATCAGAAGGAATTCTAACCAGGGAGTCACTACTTCCTTCTATTCAAGCTTTGCAAGAATTCTTCATCTCCATCTTAGACAGGCCAAGAATACTATAGGATTTCATTACATCAGAAGGAATTCAGATCAGAGATAAGGGATAATGCTCTTTATTTAGTTATTACTTAGGGAATTATTAACCTTTCAATAATGAGGATGGACAATAATAGATCTTGGAAGATGGACAATGTAAACCCCATCATTGAGAAATTCTACTGTGTCAATTGCTTTTTCAATAAACATAATGCAAACATTTATTGTCACACTGCTTTCTTTACTAACTGAGAAGTTCCAGTCAGTAGATTGGTTGTTATTCTCAGAATTCGGTGACACAGTAAGATGGTCTTACCCGACATTCAGTGAGATCTGGAAGCTGGTGTGAGCCTCGCGTCCATCACAAGTTGGGGGCAGAGTCTTCACCTCCAAAGCAAATGGGAATGCCTTGCTCTCTGGGAGAACATTGTATTTCAAGGATGTCTGTGGAACATCAAAGGAAAAAAACTGTTTTTCTCCCTTCCCCAACATTCCTCTCAACTTCGATTCTGATTTGCCCTATCACTTGCACACTTAGGACTTTTCAGTGAGAAGGATTATTGTGGACCCTCTGCCCACATCTCTCCCAAAAGTCTCACCTGGAGGTAGACACATCTGTCTCCTGTCACTTTTGCAGTGTATTTCTCAGACACCTTTGGCAGTGAGACCTGCTGCAGTAACAGGAGGTTGTTGTTGTCCACTTGGAAATTTGTGGAAAAGGTCTGTGAATCCTGAATGGTCACCTGTGCAGCCTTCCCAGTCCTGGTGAAAGTGGCTGCTCCATATCTGGAGAGGGCATGGAGAGCTACCACTGTGTCCTGAAGGGGATGAGTGAGAGAACCTGCTCAGGTATGATATGCCTTTGAAGAGTGAGATTTTCCCCAAAGTCCCATGTTAGCTACCACAAAGAAGCTTTGACTTCCTTCTTCCCTCACTACTTAAATTACTATTAAAACTGATCATAATCTTTAGATTGGTGCCAGAACCATCACATTTACATATTATTTTATTTCTCAGAAAATTGATCCTTTTCTCTCTATAAACATATGTAGGATGTGGAATGTGGGGAATATATGTGAGTGAGGATTATTTTGTAGCATTAGCCCTTTGCCTCTGATGCCTTAGTTAACAACTATGGTAAGAGCTGCCACCACTCGACCAAAGCTCAATCTGACTCTCTCCCCAAATAAACTCTGCTCTGCTGCTGAAGTCAATGCCTTGAGAGAAGCCAAAGTCCTTAGCAGTCATGATCAAGGTCATGCTTTAATTTCTCCAAAAGAAATAAAATATGAATAACTATAATTATCTTCTGGATTTATTGACACTTTTATTTGGTTCTTCTCTTTTTGTTGCAGTATTTCTTGTGCTCAGTAATTCCCTGTGGTATGTCATATTCTCAGTTCTCATCAACATTGACCCTGGATGACATCCTTCAAATAACAGATTCCTAAGAAATAAATGGTAGCTGTTTTAATGAAATTAGTTCTTTTCCTATTCAAATGGAAAAACAAGAGATTAAATACAAGGGAAAAAGGATGGGGTGCCTATTTGCCACATTTTCTTCCTCTTTTAGGATATATACGCTTACACCTAAATTATCTGAAGATAAAAATTTCTGTCATGTACATATAGAAATTTGATTAATTTTCTAGATACAGGATTATATAGTAGGCTCAGGAGGTTGGATGAATAAAGATAGTTCTTATGCTCTTGATAAACGATTGTGTATTAAGACGGGATAGGGAAAGCATGAAATGTGTCAGCTTTAAAAGAAGCCATCTAAATAGGATCTAAGAATGGAAGGATTTGCAAGGAGAGATTGTTGGGTTTGGAATAGAGTTCCTGGGAACAGTTTGAAAAGGACTTAGAACTTCCAAAATAATTGTAGATTTTCTTATTCGTCCTGCTGTGGTCATTGAGCACAGCATCTTGGTGCCCCACTACTGCTCTAGAGAGGTACACTTGTTGGAAATAGGAGACAGTGTTAATAACACAGACATGGGAGCCAGAATTTGAGATATTCCTTTTTAGTCCTCTTTGACTTTCATTTCCCCTTATTTCTCTCTCTGAATACCAAGACCTTCTTTCCCATTTCAAGTTATTCTCATCTTCATTTTTTCTTCTTGCTGTGTGGTTATATCTTGTTCAAACTTTTGCTACCTGAAACTGAAATAAAAGGTTCTGACAAACCACAGACCTGGGTGGAGGAAAAGCCTCCATTGGAATTCTGTTGCTGTGTGATCCACTTAACGATACGTGATGCAGTATTCAGTTCCTCTGAGGATGGGGCAGGCTGGGCGGTGAGGTAGGCGAGGAGCACGTAGGATGTCATCTCCACCTCAGCAGAGGGAGCCTGGGGTTGGTAAAAAGGATTCACTGGTTCCTTGGGTTTCTGAGGTCGTGTCCAGTGCATGGAAGTATCTGGGGGTGAGAAAAAGGGATTTATAAGTGGCTACATATTCATATTTAATTTAAGGTGAAAGTAGCAAAGCCAGAGCTGAAATGAGGGCTGCTTTCCAATTATAATTGCTCAAACCTTATATACTAGATGGAGTCCTGGTGACACAAGGGTTAAGAGCTCAAGCTGCTAACCAAAAGATTCAGCAGTTCGAAACCACCAGCTGCTCCTTGGAAACCCTACAGGGAAGTTCTACTCTGTCCTCTAGGGTCGCTATGAGTCAGAATCGACTTGATGGCAACGGGTTATATACAAGATGCTTTTCCTTTTATGTAGATCTTAACTCAGTGTGTTTCAGCAGTGCTAAGGCAGGTAAGGAGTCCCTGGGTAGTGCAAACCTCAGCTGCTAACTGAAAGACTGGAGGTTCGAGTCCATCCAGAGGCTCCTTGGAAGAAAGGCCTGGAGATCTACTTCCAAAAAATCAGCCATTGAGAACCTTATGGAGGACAGTTCTCTGACACACGTGGCATCACCACGAGTCAAGTCAACAGCAACTGGTTTTAATGTTGCTGTGGTCAGAAGCCTAGAGGCATCTGCGTTTTCAAATGGTTGCTATAGTTGAGTTAGTGGGAGAGAGAGAGATGATAGAGAAAGTTCTCTTACTAGTCGGGGGCATTTCCTATTTCTTATGTTATCTAGACCTTGTCTGGGGTTTGTTTTGTTTCCTACAAAGCCTGTCCTCAGATATTTCTTGTGAGGACCACAGATTGCATTAACTAATAGATGTTCACACTCATTAGATTGGAAAAAAACACAGTAATTGTCAATATGCCAAAGGCTGACAAGGGTGTGAAATAATGGGAATGGCTAGACACTGCTGTGGGAAGTAAATTCTATTTGGAGAACAATTTGGCAATATCCAGCTAAGGCGAAGATGTGCTTAGCCTACTCATCAGCAATTACATTTCTAGAAGTACAGCTTAGGGAAACTCACCCAAGTTGTACAAGGAGACATGCATATGAGCATTCATTGTAGCATTGTTTGTAAAAGCAAACAATTAGAAACAAGGAAAGATCCATGAGGAGAGAATTGATAATATAAATTATGACATATTTATACATTGTGATATTATGTAGCAGTGAAAATGAATGAACTAGAGTTACAGGCATCTATATAGGGGACTCTTATGAGCACAATGCTGAACTTAAAAAATAAAAGGCAAGCAAACAAAAAACCAAGATGCAGAAGTACCCAGGAGTATGATACTGCTTATCTCAAGATGAAAAACATGCAAAAATTCTCAGTATTATTTAGGGATATATATAGTAGTGAAAAAATAAAGAAATCTATGGAAATGGTAATGACAAATTCAGGATAATGGTTACCTCTTAAGGTAGAAGGGATACAAAGGGAGTTTTGACTGCATTGGTAATATTTTATTTCTTAAGTTGGGAGAGAGATATATAGGCATTAACTAATTTATTCTTTATGCCTTTTTTGTATATCTGAAATATTTCCCAATACATTTTAAAAACAAACAATTAATGATGCTGGTAAAAGAGGAAAAATACAATATGTTGTTGTTGGGTATATTATCATTTGCATTTTAGTTCCCATTTCTTCAACCCTTCATACAGACCATGGTATGCATAAAGCATTATGTGAATATGAGTAAATTTGTCAACATTATTGGTCCTTTGAAATGAGCATAAAATACCAGAATTTATCCATGGGGTTACATCCATCGATTCTTCCTCATGGTTAAGATGATATGATACACCAACTAAGGGCTAGGTATATATTAAGAATGGATCTCTTAGTAATAATAGCTAATATACTTCTACAGCACTTACTGTGTGCCATGCAGTCTTCTAAAGCGTTACATGTAATGAGTCATTTTATATTCACAACAGCCCTATGAGGGAAATACTATTATGATCCCCATTTTACTGATAAAGGAACTGAAACACAAACAAATTAAGTGACTTGCCCATACATAGTAAGTTTTAGAGCTACGATTCACACCCAGGCAGTCTCCAGAGGTTGAGCTCCTAACTACTACACATATTGCCTCTCATCTCTTGATGTGTGATTTGATTAAAAAATCCTGGATTTTATAGTGAGACAGACAAACGAAGAGAAGGGAGAGGGATCACAGCAGGTAGCAGTAAGGGGTTTTTGCAGTGCAGTTCGTGATACAGAGAATGTGGGATGGGAGAAAGCTCTCAGCTTTGCGCTCACCTTCCTTCACAGCTTCCTTGTCAAGTGACTCGAGTATCTCTCTCCTCTTGTCCTGGTTACCTGCCAGGGCAAAAGCATATCCCAACAGTGCCTTGGTGTAGACATGGCTGCTGTGGGCTCCGTCCTGGGCTGACTTCCAGGCTGCCTCCAGGCAGAACAGGGCATTGCGGACAACAGGGTGCTGTGAAGGGAGAGTAAGGGTGCTCTGAGCTGTGTGAACAGGGAAGCTGGCACTTCTAGGTAAACACACAGATCTTAGCAAGGAGGCAATGATGTTCTTCAGATGCATTTGTTCATCTACCCTCGTTCTTATCGATGGAGAGAATAACATTTTTTATGTGTTATTTTCACACTGAGGTTGTTGGTGATTCAGTAGTAGACTTCTTGCTGTCCATGCAGGAGACCCTGGTTCTATTCCTGGCCAATGCACCTCAAGCACAGCCACCATCGATGTGTTAGTTGAGGCTTGCGTGTTGCTATGATGCTGAAAAGGTTTCAAGGGAGCTTCCAGACTAAGACGGACTGGGAAGAAAGGCCTAGCGATCTACTTCCGAAAAATCAGCCAGTGAAAACCCTATGGATCACAACCATCTGATCCCGTGGTGCCTGAGGTCACCATACATCACGGTGACTCAACAGCAGCTAACAACAACAACATTTTCACATTAAAAAAGTTGAAATAGAGGCTATGTCTTTAGAATTCTTTTTTTTTTTTTGTGGTGAGGAGATGGGAGAAAACAGCTTAGGGGCGTCACTGGGAAAGTGTAAATCTTTCCGGATGGATTGACCAAATTCTCTATTCATCTGGGAAACACTGGCATTGCACAGAAGGAAAGCTGACACTTGGCTTTTAGTGAGGTGATATTTCAGACATTAGGTCAGCAGTTTCATTGCATCCAGAACTATGTATGCTTCATCAGTGGAATGAGATGATACCTACAGTGACTGGGAGAGGAATCTCCAGAAGGGCAATGGTGATATAGGCAGAGAGAGTCACTTCATCATCTACTCCACCCTGTAAATATAAGAGAGAGTGAGAGAGAGAGATAGAGACAGATTTGAGTAATTCAACTTCTGAGAACGTTCTTAATCAGCTTTTTCTATTCTGCTTTGTCATGGAATTTGTCCTTCCCTATATCCATTAACATGGGGCAAAAGTATCAAACCCAACCGCCTTCTTGGTGCTATCCAGGTTTTATCTTCCTCTGATACCTTCCCTTAGCCCTTTCATGGCTGAATTATTTTTTATACATGTCCCATTCAGAGACTACTGGGGCATACAAGGCCTCGTTCAATTTTGTGCTTGTCGGGTTTCATGGGCTGACAGTGCCCGACTCATAGTTTCCCGTCTGATCACTGGGAAACACAAATCCCACTTCCCTTCTTTGCCTATCAAGGTTCTTGGGCTGCTAATATGTCATCTTGAGATACTAGTGCCATCTGAAGGGGACATGTATACAAAATAATTCGGCACAAAAGCCTTCGAATTTAACTGGGCCTGCCCTGTCCCCTGAGGGATGAAAGGGTTAGAGATTCCTATGTTATTACTTCCTTTCATCACCCTTGTAGACATCACCATGGACAAATCAAGACTAGCTTCTGGAACAGCTCACCTTAATGGCATTGTTGAGCAGTGACCCTGAGCTCCTGAAACAGCCATTGTCTTTCTGCTTCTGGGACAGCCAGGTGAGGGCTTGGGTAATGTGTGTTTCATCAATGAAGATGTAGGGTCGAGCCTGGGCAAAAGTCTTTAGTACAAAGGCTGTGAGCCTGAAGGGATAGAAAGAGTGGGTTGATGAAGATATTTATGATGTTACAGTGGTAACAGGCTTTGTCTGATACTTCTTACATTGGTGTGAATCACCTAATAGGTGTATATCACCTAATTAAACCGCTTGATTAATCTGCTAGCTTTAGGATTTCCCTCCTGACTCGCTTTCTCATTGCTACAGGGAGTCTACGTAGTTTTATTTTTACTTATTTTTCTTAGTTTTTTTGAGTGAGGATTTAAATCTCTCTCCTCTTTAGAGATTTCCTTCTGTAGATGATAGACTCTTCTGATATGCAGCTCTTACATGTAATAGCTTCTGATATTTCTTTGCCCTAGAGACTTAAGATACAATGTTTCATATCATTGCCTCCTTCTAATTTCTTTCCTTCTGTCAGTGAATTTATTCTCAGTCAAAACGAGCATGATCTAAAAAACATAACCTAAGCTGAAGTTGATATGGTTTATCAAGAAATTGATAGTATGTTCACGGGCCATGTCAAACCAAAACAAAACAAATCAACAACCTCATGGTTATGGGAACGATTTTAGAAAGAATAGCTTATTAACAAGATTAATTTGAGGAACAAGTCTGATGTACAGGCATCTGAATCTCAGCTTTTCTGCTTATTACTTCATTAACCTTGGTATATTTATCTAGTATAACCAACTGTAAGTCTAATAATACATATCTGATAGGGTTGTTGTGAATATAATTATGGTAATGTGTATAAAGAGCTGGCACAAAAATAAGAGCTCAAAAAATTGTCCTTCCCTTACCAGGTATTTCCCTGGCTCCTGCCATATTGTTCCCCAAAGGTGCTGTAGGACCCATCGCGGTGCTTATAGTTCAGCTGTCTCTGGTAACCTGGAATGGAAAGGAAATGTTACTGAAATAACATGACAGATTAATGTGCATGCTTAGGCTGGAGACATTACTAAAATGCCGGGCCCGCTTTTGTGACCTTTTCTAAATTTTGTTGTCAGGTTAGAAGGTTCTGACCTCTAAACATTTTATTGGAAGTCGAACAGTGGAAAGTCACCATGAAATGAACTACCACAGTATTATTACTTAGGGATGAGTAATAACTCAAGCTTATTGAGAAATCCAGCGAAAATAACACTGTGAAGTTTTTACTCACTCATTCAGTCACTCACCAGTGATGAGGTAGCCAATTGCCTTGGACTTGATCTGTGGAGTCAGTTGCTGTGTTTCATTCAGATAATCCAGAACATAAATGTTAGGAGCAAAGAGGACCATATTCTGTTCTCCGCAACCAAAGGGCATCTGGAGGAGATTTTGTGTGTTTTGCATGGCAGAGCCTAATATGTCTCCTAGGAAATGGGAAAGACGGGAAGTCATAAAACCTAGAGTTTACTATCCATCACAACCATTAAGACAAATAAATAATAAGCTGAGGTAGAGAAACGAGGATTTTTAGCAAGTGTGAGTCTTCCAGGAACAGAAGTATGAGCAATAAACAAGTCCATAAAAGGAAAGAAGAAGGGACTTAAGATCACAGTTGTTACTTTGAGTATTTATGGAAAAGAAATATTGTGGAAGCTATTAATGCCAAGTCCCGCAGGGGCTGGAGACTCACCCAAAACTGAGACAGAGGCTCGGGCGGATTCTTCTACCACATTTGGTGGCAACATCAGGGATAATATTTCAGACACCTCATCGCCTTGAGAGAGAAACAAATCAGCCATAATGAAAAATTATATCTGCTATATATCTTTCTGATGTATATATCTTTCTGGGCCCCTTCTTCCTGAAGAGCTCAAGGTCTATGACTTAGATCTAACTTCTCCTGAAAAGTTGTCCCTGTTTTAATATTCTAGTTTTTCATACCTTGGATGACTAGGATTCTGGAACTTCCAGGCCATGTCTCCTTCCCCAACCATTTCCTCCCCGTATATAGAGCGGCCCTCCAAAAGATGGCTACAAATCAACTAGTGCCCATGATGTTGTGATTCTGTTGCAGTCAGCCTATGTCTGTCACAAGATGGTTATCGCAAGATAGTGTCCATTCTCAACCTCTTCACTTAATGGTTGTATGAACAAAACCTGTATGTATTCATAAGCAAATGCAAAATCTCCAAAATGCTCCTGAATTCTACAATAATACTATGTCTTTCTTTCCATCAAATTTCACAAAGGTAGTATTTTTTTTAATATTGTGAATTAAAAAAAATTTTTTTTATTGTGATTTAGGTGTAAGTTTACAGAGCAAATTAGCTTCCCATTAAACAGTTAATACACAGATGTTTTGTGATATTGGTTGCCAATCCTGCAATGAGTCAACACTCTCCCCTTCTCCACCCCAGGTTCCCTGTTTCCATTCGTTCAGTTTTCCTGTCCCTTCTCGCTTTTGCTTTTGGGCTGGTGTGCCCATTAGTCTTGTATACGTGATTGAACTATGAAGCAGTTCCTCACATGTGCTTGAGGGAGGTGTCTAATCTTCAGCCTAAGGGTGAACCTCAGGAGTGAGTGACTTCAGCACTGAGTTAAAAAGCTGTCTGGGGGCCATACTCTTGGGGTTTCTCCAGTCTCTGTCAGACCAGCAAGCCTGGTTTTTTTTTTTTTTTTGTGAATTTGAATTTGGTTCTACATTTTTCTCCCTCTATTGTGATCCCTGCCAGAGCAGTTGGTGGTGGTAACCGGGCACCATCTAGTTGTTCTGGGCTCAGTTTGGTGGAGGTTGTGGTCCATTAGTCTTTGGACTAATCTTTCCCTTGTGTGTTTGGTCTTGTTCATTCTCCATAAAGATAGTATTTTTATGGAAGCTCTAGCAATGAGGGTGGGGAGTGAAGATGGGTAGCAGTTAACTCTTTGAAAATAAAATAATTGCTGTTAATGAGCATACATTTAGTGTCATTTTAATCTTAGTGCGTTACATGAAGATGAAAAAATGAAATGTAGTATTTATCTTCATACTGTATCCCTTCCTCAAAAATTAAAACCTGTGTAAGAAAACAGATGCCATAGGCAAACAAACTTAAAACACAAATAATCAAGTGCAAGAAAATATTCGCAACTTATTTAACAGATAAAGAATCAGCTTATATAAACCAGTAAGAAAAAGACAAACTTCCAAAAACATGAATAGGCAAAGGATATGAAAGCACTTCATAAACATACAAAAATAAGCTCATCCTTACTTGTGATTAAGGAAATACAGATTAAAACAACAACAATATATTTTTTATCAAAATTTTTGGCAAAAATTAAAAACTTTGATGTAAGAAATGACGGTGATTGTGCAGGGAAATGTATACTGGTGAAATGTGTTTAGGTAATAAAGAGGTGAATTTTTAGTTCTATTAAGATTAAGAATATGCGTACTGCCTCTGACTCAGCGATTTCATATTTTGGTATCTACCCTAGCTATAATTGCATATGTACACAAGGAGTCTATTATTATTATTATTTTAAATAGCAAATAGTTAGAAAAACCAATATGGGAATGACTAAAAAACAGTGCAGAACTGTGGTATATTGAGAGCATGGGACACTATTTAGCAATTAAAAGAAATGACAGTGACTTATCATATAACATGGGCTGATCTCTAAGAGGGTTGCTGATTTAAAAAAAAGAAGAAGAAGTATTTTGTAGAAGGAAACTTAACAATATACCCTTCATGTGAATCACATATACACAAACAGATTCACTTATACATACAATTTCTAAAGGTATATGGATGATCACTAAAGTATTGAAAAAGATTGCAAGGATGTGTCTTTCATCTTTAATATGAAGCTCCATTTTGTTCTTTAGAGGAGAATATGTTTTTGTATTACATAGGTAATTAAAATTAATTTAATAAAACTACTTGATGATTAGCCATAGACACTTGAGGGATAAATCAAAATGAAGAGTTCAGAAATGGAGGAGAAGCCATGGTAGAAAAGTTAGCATTAAATTCACTTAAATGTAGAAACAAGGCTAAACAACCAGGCAATTATGCTTTTAGAACACATTTCACATGTTTTAAGTCTTGAATATATATATATATATATATATATATATATATATATATATATATAAAAGGGAACAGAAATTAGTAGGCAGACAGAGAAAGGCAAAGAACATATGATGAAGTTCGACATTGGTTTGGGTTGAGAACCCACTGTAATTTATTAATGTACTAAACTCTAGAAATGATTTTGCTTTAGACTAGAAAATTCTCTATCAGGATAACATTATGTCTTTTACTGAAAGCTTCTTTAGCCTCTTCTCAATTGATGGATGGGCAATTAGGTACAGAGTTGGCATCCAACAAATATTCATATGACACTAATGTGTTAAAAGCATGACAACTCATTCTTTGCAAAACAACACAGCCTTATCTTCAAATGCTGTTGGCTATGCAAAAACCAGTGTTGGAATGGCCTGAATTCAGATAGCCACATGTTGTATTACTAAATATTCAAGGAAATATCCTCTTTGGCACATATTTATTTTGATTTTACCCACTTTGTACCTATACCTACATCAAGCACTGATTAGAAAGACACTTTGGTATTTGCACAGGTGCTGCAAAAGATAAAGTCTGTGATTGTTGTTAAGAGTTGACTCTGAATCATGGTGACCTCGTTTGTAACAGAATGAAATGTTGCCTGGTCCTGCACCATCTTTGTGATCTTTGGTGTGCTTGAGTCCATTGTTGCAGCCACTGTGTATTTTGGGTTCCTTCCAACTTAGGGGGTTCATCTTTCAGCACTACATCAAACAACATTCTGTTGTGATCCATAGGGTTTGCATTGACTAATTTTTGGAAGTAGATCACCAGGCCTTTCTTTCTAGTCTGTTGAAACCTGTCCACCATGGGTGACCCTGCTGCATAGCATCCAGCATCATAGCAACACTCAAGGCACCACAGTACTACAAACAGACAGATGGATGGTGACGGAATGCATGGGCTAGGGATATTCTCCTGATCAAATTACTTGCCTCTCTAAGAACCAGTTTCCTCATTTGTCAAATAGGTGCTTCAGGTCTTATCTCATAGAGAGAGAACAGAAGTAATATATAAAAGTTCTTTGAACTTCAAATGTTACACACATTTTAGTCATTGTTATTTTAATTATGGCTTGCTCTTACCTGATGGACAGAGCAGGGAGTTGCATGTTGTTTCTTTCGCTAGTCCTTCAGGCTTGGGGTGGAAGAAGAGAAAGGTACAGGTGAGCATTCAGGACATGTGTGTTGGTAAGTGTAGGGTAAAAATTACTTTATATAAAGTAACTTGGTCTTTGTCCTTGATTTCTGAGAGATAACTGTAAACCTTGGAATTTTCTGAGTAATTGAGTTGCCTTTGTTATCTACAGATCTCCAGACCACACCTGAGAGTTTATGCTAATGAGATGACTTTTGGGTGGGGGTTGGTCAGGCCAGAAAGACCACCATGTGCTATTAGCTGACCTCAGGGAGGAGGGGGATCATGATTCAATTGATGAGGCTCCAGTGAAGGCTCTGGATCCATGGGCTTCCTGGTTGATGAAAGACATCAATGCACATGGGAGGGTAGCATGTCCCTTTTTGGGACATGGAAGCTTTGGGAACCCTCCCAGGTCTTACTCTATGCATGTCTTTATTTGTGTTCTTTTTGCTATAATATAATTCGAATTGTAAGTATAACACTTTCTTGAGTTCTGTGAGTCATTCTAGTGAATTATTGAACCTTAGGGGAGTAGTGGAAACCCTGGTGGCATAGTGGTTAAGTGCTATAGCTGCTAACCAAAAGATCTGCAATTCGAATCCACCAGGCACTCCTTGGAAAGCCTATGGGGCAGTTCTACTTTGTCCTATAGGGTCGCTATGAGTCGCAATCGACTTGACAGCAACGGGTTTAAAGGAGTAGTAGGAGCCGGCAGGTCAGAAGTGGGGGGAGCCCTGGGGACCCTCGAGTTTACGGCTGGTATCCTGAAGGGGTAGTGGGAAGATTCCAAATTTGTAGCTGGCAGGTCAGAAGTGAAGGTGTCGTGGGGACTCTCTAGCGTTTTAAGTCTTGGGCAGACTTGGCGGTCTGGAGGACTAGTGCTGCAAGTGCAGCTGGTGTCATAACAGAGATGGAACAGAAGAGAACATAATTGATTTGAGATTAATTGCAATTTATTCTTACAGTTTGGTGTCGGAGAAGTGCGAAGTGGGATTTGATCTTCCTCATAATAGGGTAACCGTAGATTTCTTGATAGTAAAGAGAAGAATTTGAACTAATATTTAAATCTATTACATGAACAAATTCTATAAGCCTAAGAAATATGAAGGAGACAGGTTGATAGATGAGAAAGGGAGTAGAAAATTAAGAAAGAGACAGGGAGAGAGAGAGAGAGAATAATAATATCGGGAAATATCCCATGGCCATATATTACTTAGCCTTACTTCTTCCCTAAAAGTTGGAACCCCAACTGGGTTCGCCATTGTTTTTCTCTACTCAGTGTAACCTATCAAACAGGCAGGCTTAACTTACTTCAACCAACAGGGGCTTGATGATTGTATCTTTCTTTCCATGTTCAAGAACCACAGTCTCCTCAGTCCCGCACAGCTCTTGAGACTGCAGTGCCTCTGCGCTCACGGTGAAATTCACATTCCCTGAAAAAAGGGCCAGTAGAGATGAGTACCATCTCCCTCTTTTTGCATGCCTCCAAACTCTAAGATTCATAAATGTTCAATGTTCTGTAACGATTTTTCTATAAAAACACAGAATCAGGAATGGAAGCAGCATGAACTAGAGGATAATGATACGGGGAATCCAATGTTTAGGTGGAGGTGAGGGAAGTGGGAAGGAATGTCCTTCTAGACATCTTAAAATGAAAGACAAAGAGAAAATCCTACCATGTGAGGTCTCTGCCTGAGGGAAGGGATGAGTAGCACTGGACATATGGCTCCCACTGATTTATGCAATCCTTGACCAAAGAATTGTGTCTAGGAGACTGTCCCTCACCTAATGACTTCGGGGTTATTGCCCAGGACACGGTGTGCCGCCCATTCCCACAGATGCAATGAGACTCTTCTTCCTTTTCTTCTGGGACAGCTAGGAATTCCGGAGAGTCTTCCAGCTGCACATGGACCTGAAACCCCACAAGATACAGACAAATGAGCTCAGAGGGGGAAGGAGACAAAGAGAGAATGGGTTTGAAATAAAGCATGTTGAAGGATTAGATGGATTTTAGACTGTCTAATATTGAAGATGATGTAAAGTGAAGACCAAGTACCTTACACATGGATCTGACACCTAAATCTCAGTATTTTGGAGTAAACTGCTCTTTCATGTAGTCGGACCAGAGTAAAGGGAAGGTACCCATGGCATGTTGCCTGTGGAAGCTCTACTTCCTTGGCCTGGGATCTTGAACATTCCCCCAGCTCTCCAAGCAGTGTCCACAAGATTTGTACCAGTTTTGCTCCCAAACAACGTTTTAAAATAAGGTTTAATATAATGAATGTTATATGAAAATTTAACTATATGGAAATGTAGAGGTTGAAACCTAGGAAAGTCTGAGACATGGGAATGAAGAATCCTGATTTTTTATGTTCAGGTCATAAATCTTCATACTACATGAACTTCATAACTACAAAGGGTAAGAAACTTGTTTTAAATTGCAATTTGGTATTTGGAGATGTCAGCAACTATAGCTTATATAACATATGAATATCTCTCTGATAATATGCTTTCTCTGGTAAGCACATCTGTAACTGGAGTTTGTCAGTATTTCTAGAAATGCAATTTTTAATTTACTTGTTACCTTGTGTTCAATTTAGGAAACATGTCCTTACCGGTATGCATCTGGGAAGGTAGTTTAAGACAGTGGCCTTTAGCGTGAAGGCCTCTCCACGGACCACAGAGTAGGGCATTGTGAGCTCCACAAAGAGCGGCTGGAAGGCTTGGAGAGTGGCAGGAAGAGAGAGACCAAGTCCAGTGTCATCGGACAGGCAAAGGGCTCCTGCCTTCCACTCGGTGATGGTGTCAGGCACTGTTACTCCTATTTCAGCCACACCTGATGAGCTAGGGAGGATGACAATGCAATGAACAGAAATTAAGCATGTGAATGCATTTTTTCTCAAGTGAGAATCAATATGTGTAAAGCTAATGTCAGTAACTGAATCCACCCTCAAAAGTGTGTGTGTATGTCTTTGTGTACTAGATTGTATATTGGGGACTGAGTTGGGGAAATAAAAGGCACTAAATGGTACCTCTTTTCCTTATCAATCTATGGCCACATCACATATGTCTGTACCTTAAATAGAAACATTTGAAAGTGATTTAGTTTGCTCCTTGAACTACCCTCACTATTATACTATCAGGGACCGTTACTCCTACTTCAGCCACACCCGATGAGCTGGGGAGGATGACAATGCAATGAACAGGAAGTAAGCAGGTAACTAACTGTTTCTCTTGGAAAAGAACCCCGATAAATGATCCTAAGTCATGCCTTGGATACACTCAGTAGAAATATCAATAATAGAGAGTGTAATCAAGGCTTGAGATAGGAAAATACAAGTTCTTGTCTTCCAACTTTGTTTTAAATTCTAGTCTATATCAGAATCTCCTATAGACATATAGTTGTAGTTATAATCTATAATGTTATTGTTAGTTGCCATCGAGTTGCTTCCAACTCATAGCGACCCTATAGGACAGAGTAGAACTGTCCATAGGGTTTCCAAGGAGTGGCTGATGGATTCGAACTGCTGACCATTTGGTTAGCAGCCTGAGCTCTTAACCACTGTGCCTCCAGGGCCCCATAATCTATAATAGACAACATAATTACACACTAAATATGTAATTTGAGATTATTCTTAAATTCTCTAAAATACTGTTGCACTGAAGGTAAATTTAAAATTTTTATTTCTACAACTACTGTGTATAGTTGGCCTCACTAATTCTGTGTTTAACCCCAAATTGCTGATCAATGCAGGGCTTGGTTATATTTAGTCCTTACGGTCATTTTTCTGGTAGTCTTAGAATTAAATTTGTGCGATTTGTTTTTAGGTCTGAGACAATTAGTTAACAGAAGTATTCATGTTAAACATTTCCTGAGAACAGCAAGTTGAAAAAATTAGCTAAGAATTAAAAATTGTGAGAGATTTATATCATTGCATCTTATATATAAAGGAAATTACTTACTCTACCACCAGCAAGTCCCAGATCCATGTCTCAGGGAAATACTTTCGGACAGTCTCAGTGTGAGACTCTGAAATCACTGAACCCGCTTCCAAATCGGCAAAGTTTGGGGTTCTTCGCATTTCAAAGGCTTCTATGGTGAACGAGGAAGGAGACAGGAAAAAAAAACATATAAAGAAAAAGCTAGTTTAGAGATTGTAATAAGTACTACAAAAAGAACAAACAGGTGATAAAATAGAGAGGAACCAGGAGAGAACACTTGGATAGGGTGGTTAGGGAAAGCTTCTTTGAGGAGACGATATTTTAGTTGAAGTGTTAGAATAAGCTAGGGGCGCGCTAGGGGATAAAGAATCATAAGCAGGGAATACACAGACCTAGAGGTAGAAAGGGTCTTGGATTGTCTGCGGAGCAGAAAGGCGTCCTGTATGGCTACTGTACATTGTGCTAAGTGGAGAGTGCTATGACATGGGGTAGGGAGGTAGGCAGGAGTCAGCTTTCGATTTGGTTGGCAGTTCAAGTCTACCAGCTGCTTCTCGGAAACCCTGTGGGGCAGTTCTACTCTGTCTTAACAGGGTTGCTGTGGGTTGACGGCAACAAGTTTTTTTTCCCCTGTGGGAGCAAAGAAAAATTGTGACACAGACATATGACAGGAGCTTTGGGAAATAGCTGACAGGAGTGAAAGAATTCAGGACTATTCCATATTGTGTCCGAAGAGCGGAGTTAGAATCTCTCACTCTATTTACCTTTTGTTAATGGTGTGCTGGTAAATGTTTAACAAATTTCTGAAAAAATAATTTATGCATATATATATACATACACACGTTTACTATAAATCTTACTGATATAGAGAATTTGTAGCACCTAATTTAGAAATAAAATAAAAATATGTAATAATCCTTATAATAAATTCCATATAGCTGGTTGATTCTCACTGAATGCTTTCCTTAATTTTTGACAAGCTCTTTTATCTGTAACACACGTATTGTTGTAATTCAACCGTGATTTGACAAAACCAGACTACAAATAAATGCTTGATTGCCGTCCGATTCATCAAAGAAGTAGCTTACATCATTGACAATGAATGTACTTCCGACATAAATATTGGCTGATTTTCTCAAATTGTGGTTAAGCATATCTAGAACAAAACACTTGCCATGTAACAGTTTTTACATGTACAATTCAAGCTGATGCTTTTATTTACATTAATGAGTAAGAAGAAAGTGAAACAATGAAGATGTATATCAGAACTTTCCTCATTTGTCAATGGTGTGAGTGATGAATTTATTGAATTGATTAATAGTTTTTGAATACCGGAAGGATTATTTCCTTAACTTTTTTTTTTTTTTTTGCTATTCACAATGTAATGGCTACAGATACAATATTTTTAGTTTAAGTTTAATCTTTGTTAATATTTACCTAATCATTTTCATAAGTCTAGAAATCAACCATAAATCAAGGTCTGATCTGTAGCATCTGCTGAGTTCATGATGTAAATACTCCCATCATAGCTTATTTCAAGCTACTAATGTGATGTTACTGAATGTGGAGCTGGGAAGAAATGCACAGTAACCCACCACTATATAGCATTTTTACCATACAGAAACAATAGTTTTACATAACCTCAAGCGCACAGATAATAGTAAAATGTAGTAATCAGGAAGTGAAGAGTTTTGGATAATTATTGCTTTTGTTTTTAATATAACTTAATTACTTGTAACTTTATATAATTTATTTCTACACGAAGGCTGTGCTTAAACAATTGGCCTGCAAAATTACTGAAGATTTAATTAGCTCTTTCGAGCCTTTATGAGCCAGCTGCAGTACACCACTGCCTTCTATGTTTAAGAAATATGTTGCAAAACATTTGCTAGAGGACCACATTTTCATAAATTCGTCCCCTCTACCTCTTTTAACTGGATTTCTTCTGTATTATTTTGTTTGGGAATTGTATCCTGCAGCTCAATTCTTCCATGTCTTTTGTTTTCCTTCATAATTCAGCCCCCAATTGTAACTCTTACTTTAAAACTCCTCACGGGATAGTTGTTCGATTTGCTGCCCTTATTCCCAGAAAATTCAGCATCACACATCCAACGAGACCACTTTATACCTGTCGTCATGCCAGCCATACTCTAACTCCTCCAGACAGCTACATTTAATCATATTGCAACACATTTTGGCTTCATCGTCTCTTAGAATTCTTCTGCAATCAACCCATTTTCCTTTGTTGGTGATAATGTCTCCCCCTTCCCTTCAGCCGCTATCAATATAATTTTGACTGTCAGGCCTTGTCTTTCCAGCATTTCCAGACTGTAGCTATATCTGTCTTACGTATTTTATCAAAAAGACAAACTCTTGTGATAATATATTTTAATCCTCTTTCCTGGTAGCATGATTTTTTCTTAAGGTCACATCCCTGGTCCAATGTAAAGGGAGCATCCCTGGGCTGTGGCCGGCACCACTTTCTATCTTACAAGAGAGAAAAGGAAAGAGAAGCAAGCAGAGAGTGGGGGACCTCATACCACCAAGAAAGCAGTGCTGGTAGCAGAGCGCGTCCTTTGGACCTGAGGTTCCTACGCTGAAATGCTACCAAACCAAGGGAAGACTGAAGACAAGGATCTTCCTCCAGAGCCAACAGAGAGAGAAAGCCTTCCCCTGGAGCCGGCGCCCTGAATTCAGACTTCTAGCCTACTGGACTGTTAGAGAATAAACTTTTCTTTGTTAAAGCCATCCACTTGTGGTATTTCTGTTACAGCACCACTAGATCACCAAGACATTTGCTTTCTCAAACTACCCAGGTAAGTTCAGTTTTGTGCTGTCAAAAAAATAGCATTGATCTGATATTTTGGATGAAGATAAGTGGTTCATTTTGCCTTTGTGATCTAATTGCCTATTGCTATCTTTCTATTCACAGAAAAACAACAACAACAAAAACAACAAAACCCACAAAAAGCAGTTGAAGTTTGCTCTCCCTTCATTATGATATTTCCCATACCTTAGGCTCCTTCTTCATCTCTACTGTTAGGGACATTTCAATCACTGATTAATACAAACTTCTCTTGCCCTCTGCTGGACTCACCACTGCTATTCCTCAATAGTTTCTAGTCATGGGCCCTGCCAAAAATCGTTTTCTCCATGATGTCAAGCCATGGGACAAATATGTTTACTGATGGGCTCATAGTATAACTTGATGGGAGCAAAACTGTAGGTATAATGGGAAGTTGAAGAGCTTCTTTACTTGAATGTAGCATGGCCTTAAGAACATTTATATTTGCTCACACTGATCTTGTGCCTGGAAAGGTTCTCTTCCCTTTTGTACCTCACACATTTCCATTTATCAAATGCAGATTCTTTAGAAATGACTTCCCTGATTCCCCACAATCAGATTTAATCTTTTATTTTTCATTCTGCACATCTGCATATCTCTTATAGCACTTTTCACAATCTGCTTTATATTCTCTCCAGCTTTGTATACGTGGGTGTGTTTGACACTATAAGAATGGTGTGGGGGCAGTGTCTGACCTCCTCTAACTTCACAATGAGGAAGGAGAATCAAAATCAACACCCCAAGGCTGATTACTATCAGGGGGAGGTCAGGCATGCCTCTTCTCTCTGCCATCTTTACCAATTCTGACACCACCGTTTCTCCCACAGCACTCTCTACTTCTCTGCGGGGTTTGATAATTCATTGCAATGGCCACACAGGACTCACAGACAATACTCACAATTACAGGGTTTATTAGGGTTACAGGTTACAATTCAGGTTCAGGAACATTCAGGATACAATTCTTCCATGAAGGCAGCCTCTTCTCAGCTGTATACGCAGGTATGTCTCTCTCTGGCCCCTCGGCCTCTGCCTTGCTGGGGCAAGTTTAGCTCTGCCAATAAGTACCCAGAGGCACCCTACTTGGCCAGCAAGCCTCCTGCCCGCAGACACTCAGCTTTCTCGCCTGTCACGCTGTCTCCTGCCAGTCTCCTGGTTCTGCTGCTTCTGCCGCTGCCATTTCTCTGCTGCTGCTTCTCACCGTTTTACCGTCTCTGGTGTTACAGAGCTCTCTCTAGGTCTCCTAGAAGAAGCTTCTAGGCGCAGGGATGCTGGGTCCAAAGGACATGTTCCACTCTTGTCTGTTCTTCCTTGGTAGTGGTGAGATCCTTTCTTTGCTCTAGAATTGGCTCTCTTTTAAGCCTATCGGCATGGTAAAACTGACCAATCGCCTTGGTGGGCCACAATTACCTTATTTATACAGTCCCACCCAATCACTTGGGTGGGAGTTACAAGACTATGGCAAGAAAGGCCACACAAAAGTGATCCATTGCACCTCAGCACAATCAGAAGACTTGGGTTTGTATTGCTGTGTGAACTTGATCAGGGAACCTTAATATATTTGAATCACAAATCCTTCTCTGTTCATTTTATCTTTTTTTTTTTTTAAATTCTTTTACTTGGTTCGATATTAGACAATTAATTATTATTATTATTTTACCTGGAGAAGATAATAGTCTTCCAGACAGTATTCCATGCTTTTCAGACTGTGCGCATATTTTGGGTTTACGAATCTTTGAGTTGGTGAATACCTTTAAACCCATGTCCTGTAAAGGAAATTATTACCTAATCAGTACATAAATATTATAAAACATATACAGACACATACTTCTTTTCATTGGATTTAACAAACATAATCCACTTAGTTTTATATTAAACTTTTAATGTTCACATCTGTAGAAGAGATATTTATAAAGGTATATTTATATTTATAAAGGTAATTTCATTTTGGTTTTAAACTCTTTCCACAGTAATTGTTTTGATATCACAAAGCAATTTCAGTAAAAAAAAAAATTTTTTTGATTAATAGTCCAAACATTTCCAGCCCTGGCTCTGTCACTATTAGCACACCTGCTACTATTAGTAACCTTGGAGAAGTCACTTAATGTCCCATTACCCTCATGAGTCAGAGTTAACTTGATGACAATGGGTTTACTCTATGAAGGCATTAAAATAACTAATATTTTCCATATATAATATTTTACTAACATTAAGAACTGACCGTCTATAATATAGTAATTTACCTGTAGGAAGCTATACATATCTTTTTCCTCTGTGTTTGATACTGGGGAATACATGATTCCATTAATGTAGGCATTAGGAGGACTGACACAGTCTCCATCATCTTCCTCCCGATTCAAACTCTCAGGGAAGCCAGAGAGGTCTTTTACTGGTAGCAGGTTATAAACCTGTAGAAATTCGAAGGGAAAAAGGGAAAATTTATTTGTGGTTGTTTTTTTCTTTAAGTGCAAGGATAAAAGAACAAGAATAATCACCATCAATCTTTTTTTTTTTTTAAAGTGTTTTCATTTTAAAGATGTTTAACAATTTTAGGGGAAAAAAATCATTCCACCTAAGTACTCAAGAGCCATAATGCTTTGTTATACAGTTCTGAGGCGAATGCTAGACTCCATACTAGCATTAAATAAAACTTTATTAGTTGAGAAATTGAGGGCTGCTATATTTGAGACCCACCACTTGTCTGTCAGTTTGTCATACTGTGGTGGCTTGCATGTTGCTGTGATGCTGGAAGCTATGCCACTGGTATTTCAAATACTAGCAGGGTCACCTATGGTGGACAGGTTTCAGCAGAGCTTCCAGACCAAGACAGATTAGGAAGAAGGACCTGGCAATCTACTTCTGAAAAATTGGCTGATGAAAACCTTATGGATAGTAGCGGAACATTGCCTGAATCTTGTACCTAGGCCAAGAGGCAGTCGTTCAAACAGAACAAGGAGATACTGCATGGTTTAAAATCAGGAAAGGTGTGCTTCACAATTGTGTCCTTTCACTATATTTATTCAATCTGTATAATGAGCAAATAATCTGCGAGGTGGACTATATGAAGAAGAACAAGGCATCAGGACACATGAACAATCTGTGATATGCAGATGATACAACCTTGCTTGCTGAAAGTGAAGAGAGTTTGAAGCACGGATCAAAGACTACTGCCTTCAGTATGGATTACACCTCAGTATAAAGAAAACAAAAATCCTCACAACTGGACCAATAAGCAACATCATGATAAACGGGAAAAGATGGAAGTTGTCAAGGATTTCATTTTACTTGGATCCACAATCAACGCCCATGGAAGCAGCAATCAAGAAATGAAACGACGTATTGCATTGGGAAAATCTGCTGCAAAAAACCTTGTTAAAATGTTAAAAAGCAAAGATGTCACTTTAAGGACTAAGGTGCGCCTGACCCAAGCCATGGTGTTTTCAACTGCCTCATATACATGTGAAAGCTGGACGATGAATAAGAAAGACTGAAGAAGTATTGATGCCTTTGAATTATGGTGTTGGCAAAGAATATTGAATATGCTATGGACTGCCAGAAGAAAAAACAAATCCGTCTTGGAGGAAGTACAGCTGGAATACTCCTTAGAAGGAATGGAGAGACTTTGTCTCATGTATTTTGGACATGTTATCAGGAGGGACCAATCCCTGGAGAAGGACATCATGTTTGGTCAAGTAGAGGGTCAGCGAAAAAGAGGAAGACCCTTAACGAGATGGTTTGACACAGTGGCTTTGACAATGGGCTCAAATATAGCAATGATTGTGAAGACGGTGCAGGACTCGGTAGTGTTTCATTCTATTGTACATATGGTCACTATGAGTTGGAAATGACTCAAAGGCACCTAACAACAGCAACAACATATTTTCACATTGTACAATGGTTTGTGATGCTAGAATGAAATGCTATTTTCATCTCTACCTTATGGTTAGCCACTATAACAAGGACACCATGTTCTAAACAGGCCCATGATTAAGTATATATCCTGTATATAGGACAGAATAGTATTTTCTTATATATTATTCATGGGAACAGAATGCTCCAGATCTTCACACAATACAAAAAACTTTGACTGTAAAGTGCTGAAAATGATGCTTTCAAATTAATTTGAAGGGGAAAAGTTAAAAAAGATATAAAAATGTTGATAGATGCACTGTTATTGCACTCATAGGAGCCTAAAACTGATTGACAAGAATAGATTATCAGAATATTAGTGTGATGATAGACACTTTCTCAAAAGCGGCTTCCTCTTAATATCCCCCATCTCCCATCTCTGCTTTCTTTTTCTTCAGAAAGTCTATTATAGATTTATTGGCTGCCATATGTATCCCTGGTGACACGATGGTAAAGCACTCGCTGCCAACCAAAAGGTCGGTGGTTTGAACCCACCAGCTGCTCCGTGGGAGAAAGATGTGGCAGTCTGCTTCCGTATGTACAACAGAACAAAACACTGCGCAGTCCAGCGCCGTCCTCACAATCATCGTTATGCTTGAGCCCATTGTTGCAGCAACTGTTTCAGTCCATCTCATTGAGAGTCTTCCTCTCTTTTGCTGGCTTTCTACTTTCCCAAGCACCATGTCCTTCTCCAGGGACTGGTCCCTCCTGATTATGTGTCCAAAGTACGTGAGACGAAGTCTTGTCATCCTTGCCTCTAAGGAGCATTCTGGCTGTACTTCCAAGAGGGATTTGTTCGTTCTTTTAGCAGTTCATGGTATATTCAATATTCTTCGCCAACACCATAATTCAAAGGCATCAATTCTTCACTGGTCTATATTATTCATTGTTCAGCTTTCCCATGCATATGAAGTGATTGAAAACACCATAACTTCGGTCAGGCCCACCTTAGTCCTTAAAATGACATCTTTGCTTTTTAACACTTTAAAGAGGTCTTTTCAGCATATTTTCCCAATGCAATACTTCATTTGATTTCTTGACTACTCTTTGCGTGGGCGTTGATTGTGGATCCAAGTAAAATGAAATCTTTGACAACTTGAATCTTTTCTTCGTTTATCATAATGTTGCTTATCGGTCCAGTTGTGAGGATTTTTGTTTTCTTTATGTTGAGGTGCTAACCAAAAGTTTGAACCCATCAGCTGCTCCATGGGAGAAAGATGTGGCAATCTGCTTCCACAAAGATTTACCGCCTTGGAAACCCTGTGGGGGCAGTTCTATCCTGTCCTATAGGGTCGCTATGAGTTGGAATCAACACAATGGCAGTGGGTTTGGTTTTTTGGTATCCTACTCAGGAGGTGCCTCCGTGGTGCAAAATGGTTTGTACTTGTCTACTAACCTAAAAGTTGGTGGTTCAAGCCCACCCGGTGGTAAGGCAGAAGAAAGGCTTGGCAATCTGCTTCCATAAAGATTACAGCCAAGAAAATCCCATGAAGCAGTTCTACTCTGTAACACTTGGAGTCGCCATGAATTGAAATAGACTGGATGGCAACAGGTTTGTTTTTATTTTTTTATTCTACTCAGATAGAGTCCCTGGTGGTGCAAGCACTCGACTACTAACCATAACGTTTGGCAGTTTGAACCCATCCAGAGGTAACTCAGAAGAAAGTCCTAGTTATCTGCCCTGAAAGGTCACAACCTTGAAAACCCTATGGACCGCAGTTCTACTTTGAAACACATGGAGTTACCATGAGTCGAAACTGACTCCATGGCAACTGGTTTGGTTTTTTGGATCCAGTGATAGGTATTTCTTCTTGCTCTGAGTTCCTGCGTGGCCCTTTCTGACCCCTGAGGCTGACAGGAACTCACCGAGGATGGAGAGAGCTCAGCCTCAGGCTTCAAGAGCAGCACACTTTGGTCCACCACACGGAGAGCGCAGAGGGACTCAGGAGAAGCCGAGACTCTCAGCTGGGTGAATGAAGCCGGAAGACTTTGTGCTGACTTGAAGCTCAAATTCACCTGTGGAATTGGGAGGAAAGGTGAGAAAAACACATTTCCTTATTAACAATGTTTTACCCTCTATCCTGAGTGTTCCTCACATTCAGTGCATAATGACTTTCTTTGATGTTGTGTGGTTGGCACCATGTCAGTCCTGAGATGTTTGCCCCCTTCCCCCTATCTAGATTTAAAGAGCAAGCAAAGTATGATACTTTGCTCTGATTCTCAACAATCAGTTGAATCATCATAGTTATTCTTGTAAATTACTAATCTAGGTTACCTATTTTTGACCTTTAATTCATGATGAGGTGCTCACTAACTGCAGATGGAATAAAAACAGTTCTAGATGCTCTTGAAGGAGCTGTCGTGGTGCAGTGGTTAAAGTGCCTGGCTGTTAACCACAAGGCCAGCAGTTTGAAACCACCTGCTGCTCCGCAGAAGAAAGAAGTGGCAGTCTGCTTCTGTAAAGATTATAGCCTTGGAAACCCTCTGGGCCAGTTCTACTCCGTTCTATAGAGTCGCTGTGAGTTGGAGTCGACTCGACGACAGTGAGTTTTTACTTTCGATGCTCTTGCGTTTTATTTTTATTTTTTTTGGCTCTTTAGTAGTCTTAAAAACTTGCATATATATTTCCCAACATTTCATCACAGAAAAAGGAAACAAGGTACTCTGAATTAGATCATATGATAAAAGACAATGCTATATACACGCGGATTTTGCACTAGGAGTCAGGTAATGTGGATTCGTAGTGCGACACTGCCATTACCTTGCTGAGTTTCTCTGGGGAATTCATTTAACCCTATCAATCTCAATGCCCTCATGTATAAAATAATTGATACTGATAGTAACTTCTAGTTTTAAATGTTGAAAATTTTATGATCTAAAACACCTACCTTGTTGGCAAGACACTTTTCAACTTCATATGTTGCAGAATCCCCAACCACTTCTCCGTCAGGTAAAATGGCATAGATGAGCAATCTAGCAATGGGAGCAATGTCTGACTCCACAGGGAATGACAGGGAAAAATGGCCTTTCACTGGAGCACAGAGAGAATGAGAGGATATGATCATGGGTTAGACATCTACCCAGAACCGAAATGAAATGAGTCTATTGCACAAAGCCATTTTAGAAGCCTGGTCTGAGTAATGACAGTTCCTGTTAGTAGATGTAATAGTAGTTATAATAAACGGTAGACGTAATAAATGGATGACTACCTCTAAGAACTCTAGCTTTAGAAAAAACTTTATCAAAGCACTCTCTTACCTCATTAATCGTATACTGATTTCTCACCCACTTTAAACTTTAGCTAATACTACCTCAGGGTCTGGAGACATCCACTTGGCTACCATTCAGTCTAGACCTCACATTGCTGTTAGTTGTTGGGTCCATTCCGACTCATGGCGATCCCATGTGTGCAGAGTAGAACTGCTCCATAGGGTTTTTAAGGCTGTGACTTTTTGGAAGCAGATTGCCAGGCCTATCTTCTGAGGTGCTTCTGGGTTGGTTCCAACCACCAACCTTTCGAGTACTAGTGGAGTGCTTAACCATTTGCACCACCCAGGGACTCCTGCTAGAGAAGGGAAATAGGTAGAACTTGAAGTTGTGACATGTAATTTAATAAGAGTTTAAAAACTGTATTTATGCTTATATCCTCTGTAACCTTCTGTGAACTAAATGCTCTATTTTTCTTTTCTTTCTAAGAGAATTATCGTGCTCTCCAAAAGTTATGTGGAGTCTTCGTGGTGCAGTGGTTAAGTGCTTTGCTGCTAACCAGAAGGTTGGCAGTTTGAACTCACCAGCCTGCTCCTCGGGAGAAAGATGTGGCAGTCTGCTTCTGTAAAGATTTACAGCCTTGGAAACCCTATGAGATAGTTCTACTTTGTCCTATAGGGTCGCTATGAGTTGGAATCGACTCAGCAGCAGTGGGTTTTAGAAGTTATTTATTTATTTTCTATATTTTATTTATTTTGCTGTTGTGGCCAAGAACGTACACAGCAAAACACACACAATCCAACAGCTTCCACAGGCACAGTCCAGCGACACTGACCACATTCCTTGAGCCATGCAACCACTCTTAGCCTCCTCCTAGCTCTTCTTCCTCCATCAACACAAACTCACTGCCCCCCAAGGTTCCCATCCAATCCCCTGAATTGCTGCTGTCAACCTGATCTCGCATAGACAGTTCTAAAAAGAGCACAATACTCAAGGCAGACCCCCTTCACCAGTCAAGCTAAACCTTTGTTCAGTTCCAAGATGACTGCAGGGGAAACCCTTGATCGAAGGTTCAAAGACTATGTCAGGGCAACAGCCTCAGAGGTTCACCCACCCTCCTTGGCCCCAGAAAGTCCACAGTCAATGAGAACCCGAAATTATGTTCTGCACCTTCCCCCCTCTGACCAGGATACCTCCACGGAATCCCTGATCAAAATGCTTATCAATGGTAGCAGGGCACCAACCAGCTTCTCTGGTCCCATGGCAAAGAAGGCAGTTGCTCGTGAAGGAAACCAGTCACACATTCCATATCCTTCTCCTATTCCTGACTCTCCTTCCTCCTCTGTTGCTCCAGGTGAACAGAGACCAACCCTTGTGCTATATATCGATGGCTACTTGCAAGCCCTGAAGAACTAAGGCACTACGAAATGAACTAAGAGGCAGAACTGAAGCACTGAGTATGTTAGCCAATTAACTGGGATGTCCCATGAAACTATTATTTATTTTTATTTTGGTGAAAATATACCATTTCAACAATTTCTACACGTACAACTCAGTGACATTGTGCAAACATTCTCACAACCCTTCTCTAAATTGTTCCACCACTATTCACTTAGACTCACTGCCCCCTAAGCTTCTTACCTGAACTTTTGAGTTATTTTTGATGCCTACATACATTTTCTAGAAGTTGCATTAAGCTTTTAGAAGACTACTATGATGCTTCTGTGTTGCTATGAAGGAACAATAAGAAAGTAGTTCACTGATAGTTTTCTAGTAAGTTATCTTTTAGACTGCATTTGACTCGGTGAAACTATCATTGTTCCATATGCACAGAGAGCATCCAGTTCGATGGTGGAAGTACCCAATTTAACTCTTCATAAATTATAACTATCTTCAAAGGAGAGATAAAATATAAAGATATAAGTGACCCAGCACAAAACCTAGTACATAGAAGACATCCCCAAATTTTACTCTTCCTTCCCTCCATACCCTAAAAAAAAATTCTTAAATCTCTTTCATTATGAGAAAGAGAAAGTCCAAGAATATTTATGGCTTAAAAATTTGGAAGAAGTATAGATTTAAAAAAAAAATCAACATTTAAAATAACTGAAGAGGAAAGAAAAGAAATATTTGATAACAGGTGAAAAAAAGAAACATTACTCATTACCCCCTTCCCCCATCAACTTCCTCTTTATTGAAGTTAAATGAAAATTCTCTCTCTTTATTTGAAAATATTCCTGATATTTCTGCAGTGTAGGGCTGAATGTGTCAGGGTGGGGAAGAAATGTGGAGATCATGGGAACACTCACTGTCTCCATCCTCTATAGGCAGTACATGGGTTCCATTTCGGACAATGTCTCCTTTTGCCATAATCTGCATAAAAGAACATAAAAAGGCATTTAATTTGCTTGACAGAGATCTTACCCCAAGTCTTGGCCTGTATGTGGTGTGCTTGTTATTGAGCCCCTGCTGGCAATAATTAGCCTCAAGAGAAGTCAATCTTTCAAAAGGAATATACATAAGAAATTGAAGTGATGATGTCTAAAGTGCTTCGTAATTCCTTACCCCACAAAGAGCTTTTGTCTAAAGATGAGTCTCCCTTCTCACCAGATAATAGAAGACGAGCTCCTTTAGATTCTTCAGGACCTGTTCATTCAGAATATAATGTGCCTGGATCTTCTGAGTTTGACCACAGGGCAGTGAATGAGCCACAGGCTCAAGGTGGACAAAGCTCTCGCTTAAGGAGAATACATGTTTAGCAGTGTAGGATGTGTCTTCGTTTTCTTCTGTCAGCCAATTGTAACCATAACAGGGAGTATGATCCTTGTATTTGACCTAATGAATTAGAAAAGCAATATTATTTTATAGATTATGTGTCATAAAGAATTAACGTTCTCACAAAAGTACAAAGGTTTACCTTCTTACCTTAAAGAATAGCTAGAAATCTTTTGCTCCAGTCAAAAGAGAGAGAGAAGGCACCTTATTTTTGGTTAGTATCAAATACAGGCATGGTTTGTATCTTTACCCTGCAGAGGCTTTTGGGGTTGGTATTTATATTTCTGAGAAACATAAAATAAGGCATCCTTTGCTCTGATTAGCTTGCTTGACATTTCTTAGGCTACTTAACCTATGTAGACAGAGACACTGAAACTCTGAAATCTCACTGAGAAGAATAAATAACCCCCAGAAACTGAAGAATTGATCTTCAGAAAGTAATTGCTTCTTTTATGATGAGTTGTCTCAAATGGGGTATTATGAATAAATAAAATATTCGTTAGTGGCCTGAGAAACTTTCTGTAAATAGCCTTGGTTCAAAGAGTTGACTTGGTGAATAAGCTGAAGTCTACATCTCTTGGGCCATAGTGGGTTAATTATTGTTAATGCTTCCTGTGGTTCTGGAATCTTAAGCCTCAAACGTCATTATTTTGGTTTTATTTCCATGGAGAAATTGTTCCTTAGCTCTTTACAATCTTCCTCTACCCTTATCCATACATCCCCAAGTAGCATGAGTGAATCATTGTGCCAGCAAAACACACTGTTCATATCTCTATACTTGTTTTAGTGGTAACGTATACATGTTCATTGAGTAGAGGGAGCCTTTAAAAATAACATTTTCATTATCAGGAATAGCATAGTGCTTAGCACATAGAAGCATTCAAGGCATACTTCTTGATTGAATAAATGAGTGAATTTTCAATTTTGAATTATTAGAGGTATGGGCTTTTATTCCATCTATTTAAAGCAGAATAAATAAAATATATTATTTATCCCTGCTTTATACTAGCATGAAAACTTCTAAGAGGCAGGAAATTTCCATCACTATTATTATGCAGTTTCTATTAATTGTATCCACATATCTATATATGTGTATCTACATCTACACTGATGTATAGAGGACTTCTATGTTATACAAAGCAAATTATATGGGCATAAATAGCTCATCTGGAGATAATTAAAATATTAGGACAAAAATAAAGTAAAAACAATAATTTATGGAGTGTATTCTTTTTGAAACTAAATGCTAACAATGTGAAAATGAGCTTTTACAGCAACATTTAACAGTTAAAAGAGGTTTACTATCTGAAAGCATTTCCCTTGAGAACAGGATGCCATTTATCACCACTCTTATTCAACATTGTGTTGGAGGTCCAAATTGGTAAGGAAGAAGTAAAAGTATCCCTATTTGCAGATGATATGATCTTATATACAGAAAACCCCAAAGAATCCTGGGACTAAAAGAAGATTTCTGTGAAGTATCAAGATACAAGATAAACATACAAAAATCAGTTGGATTCCTCTACACCAAAAAAGAGAACTTTGAAGAGGGTATCACCAAATCAATACCATTTACAATAGCCCAAAAGAAGATAAAATACTTAGGAATAAATCTAACCAGAGACATAAAATATCTACACAAAGAAAATTATAAGACACTACTGCAAGAAACCAAAAGAGACCTGCATAAGTGGAAACACATACCTTGCTCATGGATAGGAAGACTCAACATTGTGAAAATGTCAGTTCTACCCAAAGCGATCTACAGATACAATGCAATGCTGATCCAGATTCCAATGACATTTTTTAATGAGATGGAGAAACAAATCACCAACTTTACATGGAAAGGGAAGAGACCTCAGATAAGTAAAGCATTATTGAAGAAGAACAAAGTAAGACGCCTCACACTACCTGATTTTAGAACCTATTATACCACCATGGTAGTCAAAACAGCCTGGTACTGGTACAACAACAGATACATAGACCAATGGAACAGAATTGAGAATCCAGATGAAAATTCATCCACCTATGAGCAGCTGATATGTGAGAAAGGCCCAAAGTCCATTAAATGGAGAAAAGACAGTCTCTTTAACAAACGGTGCTCACATAACTGGATATCCATCTGCAGAAAACTGACACAAGACCCATACCTCACACCATGCACAAAAACTAACTCAAAATGGATCAAAGACCTAAATATAAAATCGAAAACGATAAAGATCATGGAAGAAAAAATAGGGACAATGCTAGGAGCCCTAATACATGTCATAAACAGAATACAAAACATAACTAACAATGCACAAACACCAGAAGAGAAACTAGATAACTGGGAGCTCCTAAAAATCTAACACTAATGCTCATCAAAAGAGTAAAAAGACAACCTACAGACTGGGAAAAAAAATTGGGCCACAACATATCTGGTCAGGGTCTAATCTCTAAAATCTACAAGATACTGCAAAACCAATTAAAAAATGGGCAAAGGATATGAACAGGCACTTCACCAAAGAAGACATTCAGGTGGCTAACAGATACATGCGGAAATATTCACGATCATTAGCCATTAGAGAAATGCAAATCAAAACTACAAATGAGATACTATCTAACCCCAACAAGGTTAGCATAAATCCAAAAAACACAAAATAATAAATGTTGGAGAGGTTGTCGAGAGACTAGAACACTCATACACTGCTGGTGGGAACGTAAAATGGTACAACTACTTTGGAAATCGATTTGGCGCTTCCTTAAAAACCTAGAAACAGAAGTACCAAATGAACCAGAATTCCACTCCTTGGAATATATCCTAGAGAAATAAGAGCCGTCACATGAATAGATATATGCACACCCATGTTCACTGCAGCACTGTTCACAATAGCAAAAAGATGGAAACAACCTCGTTGCCCATCAACAGATGAACGAATAAACAGATTATGGTATATTCACACAATGGAATACTATGCAATGATAAAGAACAATGATGAATCCACGAAACATCTCCTGACATGGATGAATCTGGAAGGTATTATGCTGAGTGAAATTAGTCAGTCACAAAAGGACAAATATTGTATAAGACCACTATTATAAGAACTCAAGCAAAGGTTTAAACACAGAAGAAAACTTTCTTTGATGTTTACAAGGGTGAGGAGGAAGGGGAAGGGAATTCACTAACTAGACAGTAGACAAGAATTATGTTAGGTTAAGGGAAGGACAGCACACACTACAGGGGAAGTCAGCACAACGGGACTAAACCAAAAAGCTAAGAAGTTTCCTGAATACAGTCAAACACTTTGAGGGACAGAATCACAGGGGTAGGAGTCTGGGGACCTTGGTTTCAGGGGACATCTAGGTCAATTGGCATAACAAAGTTTATTAAGACAATGTTCTGCATCCCACTTTGGTGAGTGGCATCTGGGGTCTTAAAAGCTTTCGAGCGGCCATCTAAGATGCATCAATTGGTCCCAACCACCTGGAACACAGGAGAATGAAGACCACCAAAGACACAAGTAAAATATTAGCCCAAGAGACAAAAGGGCCACATAAACCAGAGACTCCATCAGACTGAGACCAGAAGAACTAGATGGTGCCTGGCTACCACCAATGACTGCCCTGACAGGGAACACAACAGACAGTCCCTGACAGAGCAGGAAAAACGTGTGGTGCAGAGCTCAAATTCAGGTAAAAAAGACCAGACTTAACGGTCTGACTGAAACTAGGGGAACCCCAGAAGATATGGCTCCCAGATGCTCTGTTAACCCAGAACTAAAACCAAGCCCGAAGCCAATTCTTCAGACAAAGATTAGACTGGACTATAAAACATAAAATGATACTTCTTAGTTCAAGTAGATACACGAGACTAAATGGGCAGCTCCTGTCCAGAGGTGGGATGAGAAGGCGGAAAGTGATAAGAGCTGGTTGAATGGACATGGGAAAGCTGGAGTAGAAAGGCGGAGTGTGTTGTCGCATTATAGGGATTGCAACTAGGGTCACATAACAATACGTGTATAAATTTTTGTATGAGAAATTAACTTGAGCTGTAAACTTCCACCTAAAGCACAATAAAAAAAGAGGTTTACTAAGTAATATGTATTATGTCATTTAAGCCTCATAACAACCACAAGAGGCAGATACTCATTTAACAGATAAGGAAATGAAGCATAGAGGGTTTTAGTTATTTGCCGTTAACATGGGGTTTTCGTCCAGTTTATTTGATTCTGGAATCTGCACTTTTAACCACTACTCTATATTGCCTCCTTATAACTTTTTTCAAAGTTGATCTTACGTTGGCTTCCAATTTCTAGTTTTTCTCTCTTTAGGACTAAACACAATGTGGAATTTCATCACTTTGAAGTTGCCACCTTGTTTCATCAGTGGTAACTTTTTTCTAAACTTACTCTGACAGTGAGGGTGGCACCTATGATGCTGGTGGTGTTGATGGAGAACTGCACCAGGCCATGTTCATCGGTGGTAGCATTGGCGTGATAGTCAGCTTCATTTGCTTGGATGAAGATGAGTTTATTTGGCATGGGGACACCTTTCCCATCCACTAGGCGCACCTGAAGATTTAAAGCTATGGATTAGTTATATGGATAATGCTCAATAGGGATCAAACACACTCATTTTACCACAAATGTTTATTGAGTGCTTCCTATGGGTCAGGCATGATGCCAGGCCTGACCCTGGAAGAAAACAAAGTCACTGGCATCATAGAGCTTACAGTCTAGTGAAAGACATAGATGCTAAAGAAGTAATGTATAATGCACACAGATACACACACATATAGTGGTTATTATCTATCATCTATTTAGTAACAATCAAACCTAAGAAGAAAAATAAAGCAGTGTAAAGGAATAGAGAGTGATGAGGATGATAATAAGTGTAACCTGACAAAATGTTCTGTGGTTATTTTGAAAATGCTGTGTATTATATATAATTCCTGTAGAGTCACAGAGCACAAGAGTCATATAGTAATGAAACTTTTAAACTCATTAGCGAAATGTATTTGAGCCCCAAATACACTTATTTTGTGGCAGACCATTAACTTCTGAGGGATTAGTGTTCTGAAATATAATAAATGCACAAGTAAACAATAGCTAATACAGTGTTCTGTGGGCTTCTCTAGTTGTTTTATATATGACAACTGCTTCTTGTTCTAGATTATCAATCTTTTGGAAGGCAGGTGGGTTTTATAAGGTACTTCCCATGTGAAAAATATAAAACTGAAAAGAGGCACTCAATATTAAATAAAGGCCTAATGCCAAATTACTACTAATATTGAACTCAGCAGATGAGTTGCTTGGTTCAGATTGTAAGAGATGGTGAATCTTTTTGTAACATAAACTACTTTTGGCAGAAGGAAGCACAATAAGCAGACTTGACTCAGTATTTATGATTGCTTAAAAAAGCCAGTGAACTGTAGGCTGCAGGTACAATGACAAGGATAGACACAATATTCTGGTTCTTCTTCTTGAGGTGAGAGTGTCTTACGACTAATAGGATAGTTACTTCCCATTGCCGTCGAGTTGATTCCAACTCATAGTTGACCCTATAGGACAGAGTAGAACTGCCCTATAGAGTTTCCAAGTAGCGCCTGGTGGTTTTGAACTGCCAACCTTTTGGTTAGCAGCCGTAGCACTTAACTACTACACCACCAGGGTTTCCGATAGTTACTTAGCAGTAATAAAATATTTTAAAAGGACAATATGCCCCTGAGAAATTAAAAATGGACTACACTTTCATTTTAGGGAGAAGCCAAAGTGTCTGAATACTTTTGCTGTCATAACACAATCAAAACACTCTAAAATGTACTCTATCACTCCTTTGACGAGACTAGCCCCTCCATCTTTTATACCCTCCATAACTGAATTACTGTAGTATTTCCATTAAGAACATTCTACACAGTAATTACATATTAAGGTACGCACAACTGCCATTTCAGAATTTTGGCCTCAGATCCATTTGTACATCTGCTTTTAATAGAAAAATCACAATAGAAGACGTTTTGTAGATCCACGAGAAAATCTAAAATTATTAAATCTGGGAACCTTAAAAAGTGGTATTTTATTCCTGTGTTTACAGTTTTTAAAAAATATACTTGTTATTATAGAGAAAATAATGCAAATATTATATCCACGAATGAAACACTAGGTATAGTAGAGCCTTTAATGCTTAAAAATAAAAATTAAAGTCACCTACCCATCCATTTCCATACAAAGTTAGTGTTATGGATTGGATTGTGCCCCCTCAAAATATGTATTGTAAACCCTAACCACTATACCTGTGGTTATAATCCCAATTGGGAATGGGTTTTCTTTGTTATGTTCATGAGATGGTATTAGTATAAGGTTGGGTATGTCTTAAGCCAATTGCTTTTTTGAGATATAAAAAGAGAAGATTAGGCACAGAAGAAGCAAGCAGAGATGGGGGAAGATAGATGCCATACCACATGAAGATTGTCAAAGAACCGAGGAATAGAAGCTGTAAAAACACAAGGACCTTCCCCTAGAGTGGACAGAGAGAGCCTTCCCCTAGAGTGGATAGCCTTTCCCTTGAGCTGGAGCCTTGAATTCGGACTTCTAGCCTCTAAACTGTGAGAAAATAAATTTCTGTTCGTTAAAGCTACCCACTTGTGACATTTCTGTTATAGCAGCACTAGATAACTAAGACAGTGTTAGAAAGATAATGTGAATGGCAACCATGAATTTTGTTATTTTAAGAGAAAATGTCATAACAATTGAGACTGCCTGGTAAACCATGAAAAGGAGATTGAGTGACATCGTACAATACTGTTCCAAAAGTAAAAACCAAACCAAACAAAAACCTAATTTTCATGGTACTTTAGAATGATTTTATAGATTTCATATACAAATTTACAGAGGAATGACCTATTTTTGTGTGGTTTTATATCTTTACTTATATTAATCAACAGATGACATTAACCAGCCATGAGTTTAGCAGAATATGTTCAGCTTATTAGGTTATAGCACACAGTTTGATCTGTGAACTGTAAAGTACTCTACCTGTCCAAAAAAGGGGATCCCTTTTCTAAAGTTTGTATCCACTTTCACAAATGAGAGTTTGGTTATGGTTCTTGTAATATCACTGGACCCAGTTCCAGTTAATTCCACCTCTAAAAAAAAGAAGAAGAAATAAAAAGGTCTTTTTGGGAAAGGTGATCTCCATGAATCTCCTATACTACATTCTCTCTTTCAAATCACAATTTGGCAAAGGAAATAAATGTCCATTGTTTTTCTCCCATACCTATGTGCTACACAAACCTGTTCCTTCTTCTTGGATCTTGGCCTCCAAATGAAGTCTCATTTCATACTCTTGCCTCTTCATCTGGAAAATCTTGGTACTCACTTGCTGAGAGAAGCAGCCATGGCTGTTTAGCTGAGTAGTAAAATACAAAAAAACTATCATATTATAATGGACATATAAGTGGTGGTGTTTTTCTTTTTTGGCAACATTAAAAAAACCAGTTACCACTGAGTCAACTCCCACTCATGGTGACCCCATGTGTGTCAGAGTAGAACTATGCTCCATGAAGTTTTCAATGGCCGTTTTTTTTCGGAAGTAGATCACCAGGCCTTTCTTTCAAGGGCACCTCTGGGTGGACTCGAACTTCCCACCTTTTGGTTAGTAGTCAAGTTCGTTTGTAACCATTTGTGCCACCCAGGAACTCCTCGACAACATTACCTAGGGCTTGTCTATGATGAGGGCACAAAAAAAAATTCTCCAAGGACTAATTATTGTTTCATTTCACAACAATATCTGGCTTACAATTGTATTCCTCAATATCTGAAGTTTCCTAGAATGAATGAGACAGAAATGCCTCAAAAAATATTTGGATAAGCTTACTGTAGCAGGCAGCTAACTCTTCACCAAAGTCTGGCTCTCCTTCCCGCAGAATACACCTATGTCTGGGGAATGGCTGCCCATCGAAGGACTCTTTTCTAGCTCTTTGGCATCTGGATGGGGCCAGGTGACAGGTTCTTGCTCATAGAAAGACAGCAGAACTGACACCCTCCCAGCCAAGGTGGTTAAGAGTTGTATGTTTCTTCTCCTTCCTTCATAGAAGTGGGCACCCAAGAGCCTTTGGGCATCAAATATTGGAGATGGTTGAATTGCCATCATTTTGGGTGCTTGGCTGACCAAGAACAACAACAATTAATTACTTATTTCTTGTAATTGGATAATTATTGTGCTAAGTCACTGATTAAAAAAAAAATCACAATAGCTAGCATAGAATTCTCTTTCAGATTATTCTCTTCCTGAGTTCCATGTTGCAACTCACTGCTTGTTAACAATTCTCTATTGTTAGCCCCTAGAACGAACAGTTTTCCACCTACCTGCCGAATGAATTTCTCACAGATTGCCTCCGACTCTTCACCAAAGCAGTTAGAAGGGTTACTATACTTTCTGCATATGCTCACAGTTACAGTTCCAGGGACGGGCTTCCCATAGGTGTATCTGTCATGAGGACATTGCCAAATAAACCAAGGCAGACACTGAACATCCCCCTTTCCTACGTATTTATATTTCCTTTATACCTACAGTATATTCACTCTCTGTACTTCCCTATAATCTCTGCAGTGTTGAGGGCTCACACAGCAATGAGGGCACAGTGAACTGAGTAAAGACCCTTCTCTTTTAGAACTCTCCAGTGCAAAGTGCTGAAATTTACTACATTCTTCTTTTATCATGCCTTTTTACTTAAATTTTTTTTTCTTTTCAACTTCATCTTTAAAAATATTTTTATTATTTTATTATTGCAGTAGCTAAATCATTATTAAGAGGAAAAACAAAACAAACAAAAAATAACATCAAAAAAATAAAAAGAAGAAGCTAACACCCTCAGTTCTACCTAGGAATACAAATTATTGATACTATGGTGTCTCTCCTTCCATCGACCTCTCCCCAAGAGTAGCCATCTCTATCTTCATACAGTTTTACTTGTTTACTTTTTACAAAAATGGGATTGTGCCATACACATGTCATTGATGATTGCTGTGTTTTCAAGAATGTTTGTTTTCTTCCCTATTTTAAAGGTCCTCTGTGTCTCTATTTGCAAAAGCATTGGCTCACCAGTTACATGGGCTGATAAACTTGGTGGCCATTACTCTGAGGCAGCACTAGGGTAGGAGACCAGCTGAATAGCTAGGTGTCCTACATATCTGGTCTTTAAGTAGGAATGGCTTCTTCATCCTGCTCATTCTTTCTGCTAGTGCTACTGCTGGGCTGCTGGGGATGAGAGCATAAGATCTGGAAACATGAGTTTTCAAGGTTGGAAAGGACCATACTGAGAGATAATCTCAGTCTCCAGAGCAAAAATGGCACTGCAGAGAGGTATGTGGCATGCCTTAGGTAGATATATGAGTAGATGAGATTTGGATTATATACCGATCTCTACAAATTCTGAATCCAGTGCTAGGTCAGGTAAATTGATCTGTTTTATGACTGAATTCCCTCTACAACCATGTGTTAATTATCTGCCTAAATATGTCAATTATTTCTGGTGAAAGGAAAGTCACTACCCTTCAACACTGTCCCATTTTTTGGTGCAGCCAGCTTTGTCACTTTCAGAATGCATCCTAACAGCATATCCTTTCTAGGAACAGTTTCTCACCTCATGATAGTAATGTTAGTAAGGACGTGAAAGAAAATAAGAAAGAAAAATAGAAATGCAACAGAAGAAGGAAGTTCTGGAGGTGGGGGTGCTCACAAATACTTTAAGTATTTGTGCTGTCACTGCTGTAAGAGAAACCAACCAAAATATCCCAGATGATGAATCTCCTTTAAATAATTACCCCTAAAAGGTTTAAAAACAACAAAAACCAATCAACTTACAAGCCACACACTGACACATTTATCTCTTCTTCCAAGATAGTGATTATCTTTGGCATTGTTACTTTCACTTCAAACTTGGGAAGCACTGTTGATGGAGATAAAGGAATTTGGTGATTGGCTTTGAACTTCTGGAAAATTAATATTTTCAAGTTCTCTGTAACAATTCCCTAATGATATTTTCGGGCTCTGAAAAGGCAGCTCTACTTTCCACTGTATCCACCTTATTTTCTAATGGAGATTCTGGTTGAAGGACTATGACAGATTACTGTAACCTTAAGAATTATGGACAACATCACTAAAATGAGGATGTTTACATTTTTTTGGAGATTAAAAATTGTTACAAAAATTAACCAAGCTATACATGAAGTCCTGTTCACAAAACATCAATGGTCCTTGTTGGTTCTACTTCAAATCCTCTATCGCACATGGGAAATGGAAGGACTCCAAATGAGCTCAAATTCTAGATCCTAGAAGTTTAAATACAAACAAAACATGTTGCCCAATTTCCCATAATCCATACCAAATTCTTCCACCGTGAAGGGGTGCTGTATTCTTTTGCCTGATTCCTTCTGTATCACCAGATTGTAGGAGCCGAGAACAGGCTCTGATGAGAGTGGGAAAGACAACTGCTTGAGGCCAGTCTCTAACTGGAGATTCCGCCACTGTGTGATGCGATTTTGTTTGGGGTCCTATGGATAAATTAAATATATTTTATAAAATGGCCTGCGAGCATTAGAGACAATAAAAGGAATCTACGAAAACTCCTATGTTATTCACAAAGAGGACAAAGGGTGTGGTGGTGGGTGCTAGGGAGGGAGAAGAGTTATAATCACTAAGCCCTACGTGAGACTTTGAAGGCTTCTCCCTTAGAGAAGTTTCTGGGATATTGGATGAACCTCTCAGATAAGAATATTTTCTTAAATTTATTGCTTTCTTTTAAATTATGAAATGTTTCATGCTGCTTACCTGAAGGTACACTAGTGGAATCTGAAAGACAAAGAAAGGAGTTTAGAACTATTCTCAAATATTCTCAATTCGGACTTATAAGCAAAACAGCTTTAATGTAGAATAAATCTATCTGTAGTAAAACACAGAAAGACTCTAGGTTAAATTTTTCAGAACTTTTAATTAATCCATATCGAGCAATTAATAAATAATGTTAAGAATTTACTAAGCCATCAGAAACAAATATATACGTGCACAGTCATTCATTGGGAATGGAATTTACTAACACTACACAAGTGCTTATAGCATCTCAGTGAAGAACATTCCTTTGCTATGCAATTTACAGATTGAGAGATAAATATTAACTGAACTATAAGTAACCATGATCAGATCCAATTATTAATATGGACCACAGAATTCTTAGATAGTTCAAGAATGAGGAGGGATGGGAATAGCTCCTCTATCAGTGTTGATTCATTTTTTAAAACAATATTTATTAAGTGCTTATCATGTGCTGTTATTCTACATACTGGGAATACAGCACTGCACAAAAGAACAAAATATCTGCTCTAGCGGAGCTTATATTTTAATAGGGATGGACACAGAAGAAAAAACACAAATATACCTATGCCCTTATCTATATCTGGAGTCCCTGAGTGGTGCAAATGGTTAAGCCCTTGGTTGCTAACCAAAACGTAGGTGGTTCGAGTCCACCCAGAGGCACTTCAGAAGAAAGGTCTGGTGATCTACTTCCAAAAAATCAGTCATTGAAAACCCTATGGAGCAGAATTCTGCTCTGACACACACGGGATCACCAGGAGTTGGAACAGACTTCACGGCAGCTAGTTAGGATATCTATCTCTATATCAGATGGTGGTAAGTGTCATGAAGGAAAATAAAGCCAATTTAAGTGGCTAGAGTGTTGGATGAGGTGTTTGACTTTAGACAGAGGAGTGAAAGTAGAAGTAGGAAGAACAGATTCAAGGTTATCGCAATAGTCTTGTTTAGAGATGATGTTGGCTAGGACTAAATTGTAGCAATTGAGATGATAAGAAGTAGTCTGGATATATTTCTAGCCAACAGGCTTTTTCTAATGAAGTGGATGTGAGTGTGAGAAAAGAGAAGAAGCAAGAATCATGCCATAAGATTTTGCTTCAGGATCCAGAAGAAAAGAATTCCTTCTTGTTGAGATAAGAAAGCATGGTAAAGGAGCAGATTTGGGAGGGAAAAATTAAGACTTGGGTTTAATGTCTGCATTACAATAGAAAGAGTTGTTTATCATAAATATGAAGTGTTAGTCTTGAGGAACAAACATTGGTTATCCTCATCTCACTTCATGGAGGTTTTGGTAGGTGTGTTTAGAAAAAGTCTAAATCTTTGAGAAGTTATTTGAACAAAAGTGCCTTGATAGGTTAGCTGGGTCTGTTATTTAATATGCTGTTGTTAGGTGCTGTCGAGACAATTTTGACTTATCGTGACTCCATGTGATAGAGTAGAACTGCCCCCATAGGGTTTTCATGGCTGTAATCTTTTACAGAAGCAGATCGCCAGGTCTTTCTCCGATGGAGCTGCTAGTTGGGTTTGAACCACCAACCTTTTGGTTAGCAGCCCAGCGCTTAATCCCTGTGCCACCAGGGCTCCGATTGTATATACTTCTAATTTGCCTAATTGAAAACTATCTAAAGAGTAAGTTTAATTGCGTGACAACCGAGTAACCAGTATTAAGATCACTCATTGTCATCGAGTCAATTTCGACTCATAGCAACCCTGTAAGGACAGAGTAGAATTGCCCCAAAGTGTTTCTAAGGTTGTAAATCCTTACGGAAGCAGACTGCCACATCTTTCTCCTGTGAAGTGGCTGGTGAGTTTGAATCACTGACCTTTTGGTCAGCAACCGAGTGCTTTAAACATGGCACCATTTTAGGGCTCCTGGTATCAAGATACAAAGCATTAATTCCTTTCTTGATCCTGGATAATTTTTACATGAGGGTCTTGTGCTATTGTGATGCCAAAAATTACTGTCAGTGATACCAGATTCTTTTCCTGTTCCTTCCCACAGTGCCAAAAACAGGCTCTCAGCCTGTTTATACAGATAATAATGATTTTATGTAGATAATAGGAGACTCACCAATTCATTCAGGGGGTGAAAATTTTCATCCAATGAGACCACACGAAACTTCACTAAAACAGAAATATTTTCCATGAGAACCAGAAACCGTAAACCAGGCCTATAGGCCAGTGAGACAAGATATTAACACACCAGAATTACAGGAACTTTGGTCGGGAATTATGCAGATAAGGAAGATTTTTTTCTTTTTGAAATTGTCCTGACTATAGGCCTCTTCATACCTGTCTGCCCTGGTTTGTAGATGGGTTTGTCTGTCTGGACAAAGACCAAACTCTCTTCATTTTTAACCACCACTGTGGTCCTCTTCTTGAACTCTTGGGTTGATCCTTTCACTTGGACAGAGAGGAACATTACCTCTTCATTGGCTGGAGATCTTGGGACCTAAAATGTGAGACAGATCCTGAGAACCCATTCAGCCTCCCAAGTCTCCTTTCCCATTTCCTACTCCACTTCTTCCTTAAGATCTTACCCCTTTTTACTTAACTTTTCTCCCTTGTTCTCACCAGGGAAAGCTGGCATGGACATGACTTAATTCTCCCATTTTACAGTGGAGAACAGAACATAAGGTGGAGGGAAATGCATTAGTAAGAAAGGCTATAAATCAGAATCACATCTCCATATAGCTCAACCAATACAGTATTGATTAAATTTTACACTGAAATTTACCAAGTTGATGTGACATGCTAAAAGGGCAGGGCAGATGTATATTTTAAGACTATGGGAAAGAAAATTACAATATTTTGTTGGAGCGAGGCTGTAAGCATCCCACGTGGGCAACTCTGAAACAATATTGACATTTGCTCAGGGTAATTTCTACAATTTTCACTCTTAGAAAGAATGTTGGGTCGTGTATTCTTATCAACTCACACTGGTGACTCATGTTGAGCCTTGGCCTAATTTGCTTTATTAATGATTTTTCCATTTTGCTTTTAAGTCACATTCTATCTTTGTCTAACACATACTGGTTTTTGTTGTTTTTTTGTAAATAGGATTTTTGATTACTAAGTTGATTTTTTGTTGTTCTAATCTTTTTTTTTTTTTTTTTTTTGCTGTGCAATACATAGGGGAAAGAAAAGGTAATGACAGAAACATCAACAAAAATTTTGTGAGCTGTAGATTTGGGATATGTACTTTAAGGCTAGAGTTGTTTTTATGCTTCTTATAAAATGGCGACTATTGTGAAACTTTAGAGAATCAGACTCAAGCCTTTTGTTTTTTACCTAAAACATCCAAGTTTACAAAACGTCATATATTGACTGTGTTAAGCCATGTATGTAAAATTCTATACAGCTATCTCTACATGTATGTAGGCTCAGAGTTAAACTGATTTTTATTATGCCTGTAAATATTTCTGCCTCCCACGGTTGGAAATTCATGCGTTATTCCTTAATTACTACACTTACTAGGTTCCTTCCTGAAGTCCTTATCTGCCTCTCAAAGCCTTTCCTTGACTGAACACTAGATCCCTAAGGCCCTGACTGACTAGAGCCGAGTATATTAAGTCAAACAGCAGTACTCACAGTGAAGGAGACACAGTGGAATGAGTCCTTCTCCACTGTGAGTTCAGTAAAGAGGGTCCTGTTTTCCCTGACAGACTCTAAGGAAGCGCTCACAGTCACGGTCTCATTCAGGTGGCTCAGAAGGAGGCAGCCATTCTCAGGGGTCTCAGTGTGGAGCAGGGATGGGACCAGCACCATATACTGCCTGGGAAGGTGGTGGGGGGAGAGTTCAGTTAGAGGAGAGACACTATTATCAACAGCACTGTTTTCCCTAAGGATCTGTGGTGGTGCAGTGGTTAAGAGCTTGGTTGCTAACCAAAAGGTCAGCAGTTCAAATCTACCAGCTGCTCCTTGGAAACACTCTGGGGCAGTTCTACTCTGTCCTAATAGACTCTATGGTGACAGATGTTGTTTTTTTTGTTTTACATAACAATTACTGTCACCATCATTAGTTTTGCATCAAGATGAATATGAAATTTATCTCTTCTGTTGAATGGCATGAATGAGAATGCTTTCCCCTTTCCATCAGCACTGCCATGCAGTGAACATTTCAGTTGAGGTGGGCTTTAAAAACATTAAATGCCACACTTTAAGGAACCCTAATATGTAAGCATCTGAATTCAAATTTTAAATGTCAGTTATGTATAATCTGTTACAAATTGATTTTACATTAGGATTGCTCTAAAATGAAAGCTCTCGGGTGTGTGGACACTACAAAACCAATCAATCTACAGAATTTTCATTAAACATACATACATATATATATATATACACAGATATCTTGACATATATTAAGGTATATATTTATATATATAATATGTAAATGATCTATATCTGACAAGCTTGTGAGAATGATATGGCAAGTATTTCCTTCCATTTTATAGATAAAGAGTCTGAGGCTCAAACAGAGTCAGTCATTAGTTTAAAGTCTCAGTTGTGGTAAACAACCTATTAAGTCTTAATGTGTTACCTAACCACCGATGTTTGCATTTAAATATTTTCCTTTCATTTCCTGGCTAGACAATGGCTTCCCCCAAAGAATGGTCCTCTAGTGATTGAAGTTTGGATCTTAGTAACTCATGAACAAGGCAGAAGCTTTACCAATACCCTCATGGATAACGTAAGACTGACCCTGTAGTTTTCAAACATTCTTGCTTACAGAACTCCTAAAATAATTTTTGGGCATTGTGCACTCCTTTCATCTTTTCAAGTAAACATCAATTTTGTAATCACAGGTTTAAATAATAGCAAAAGGTATTATTTCTTATGACATTTAAATTAAAACTATTACTATTTTATAAGATTCTCATGGAATCTTAAATACCATAGTGATAAGATGCCTGATGTAATCTATTTTAAAAATATATTAAAAAGCCTTTTTTTTAATGCTTGGAAATGTAACTTCTTTCCCTTTTTTCCTCCTTGAACTTAAATTTCCATGCCATTTAGCACACAGAACTTTATCTTAAGAGTTTTATGCTTCAAAATACTTTATGAGTCACTCTTACTTCTTTGTTAGCAAGTGTATAACATACACACATAGTAGGTATATACATTTAACTTTTAGTTTTCTTTTAAATTTAATGTGACTATAACATTTTAAATGTTAAAAGTTTTCTTCAGAATTATTTTTAAAAGTCTTACTAGTAAACAACTGATCAAAACAAAATATATTACGAATTCTGATTCATCCTTACCTGATATAATAAAGATGTACTTTTGAAGTACATCTTTAAATGATAATGATAAGCTGATTTTTCCCCAATTTATATATTCATAAATTGAATATTTCTTATTGCAAGAATGAGACAAAGTCTAACATTAATTCTGTTCCTAATTTTGGCTGGTGTACATGTAACTACTGAGAAAAATTGTTCGCAGAAATAAGTAAATAAATGAGAGGTAACACAGTTATATCATTGTTGTTCACATCTTGCAAACTCCTTGTGTATTACATGCTGAAAATCACCCAGTGCCTCATTATTAAGAATTATTTTTAATCATCTGTGAGGCGATTTCTTTAAATTTGTTGAAACAAAGAATTTGTCACCACCTGACCTGAAAAAGGATTTTCTTCCCTGTCATTAGAATCCTTCACTCTCCCAATATCAACATCAGTATTTCAAATTGTTCCTTATTTGGCATGCTAGAGGTTTTTATACCCCGGGGCAATGCTCCATAGTTTAAGATCTGACAGAGGGAGAGGCTTGTCTTTCATGAAGTGGAAGATGGACAATTAAGAAAGGGGAAGTAAGAAAGGGTAAACAGCATAGTCTTAAGCACATCAACATGAATCATATATATATGAGGATCTGGAAATTGATTCCTTTAAAAGTATCAATTTCCGATGCATCTTAAAAAGGAATTTAGAGGAAATTTAGAGATTCAGAGGTCCAGAAAGTCGAAGGGAAACGGTTAAGAATAAGAGAAGAATGAATAAATCAGTTCCAAAACCTTATGGTTGGAAGAGACGTTAGAGAAAAGAAAGTGGCAGTTTCATAGAAAAGACGAATGATAGGAAAATCTGAAATAAGGAAAAAGACTTAAAATTCAAGCTCTGCGTGGAACTCACGGGTTGCCAGAGACTGTGGGCGGGAGGACTAGGAGAAGGAGAACAAGACTCGGATGAAGAAGTTTGTTCTTCGCCATGCTGCAGGGAGAAGGGACCCGAGGAGACCAGATTGTTTTGTACCCTACTGCTTGCACTCGGTCTGGTCCCAAAAGCGCATCGGAGCAACTGCGCTTTATGCTGCAATCTCTGTGCAAACAGGAAGTTCCACCCACACAAGGTCTCTAAACAAAGTTGAGGTCTCTAAGCATTTTCTGAAAGGGTCATTGCTCTCAGTGACCGCCTAATTACAGTCAAGGTTAATTCCTGGCAGGCTAAATAGAATTCCTGGAGGGATAAAACCCACATTCCTGTTAGCACTCACTGTCTCTGGATTTTACTGCAAAGCAGCTAAATCAGAACTTTTCAAACCCTTCCCTCCCCACCTCCTCCCAGTGCCTTTTACGGTTCTATTCACATCTCTTGCACACATAGCTGGCAATGGAGGCTGCAATTTAAGTGACACTGGGCAGGCTCAAAATGACATCTCACTACAAGTCACTGTGCCTGCAAGTCCTCCATTAGATATGCCTACCTTAAATGTTGAGGGTGCTTCAGAATTCAGTTGTCCTCTGCAGGAATGATAATGCTTCTGGGTTGAAGTAGTACCTTATTAAGCTAATAGGTTTTTACCTTAGAGATATTACTCAATTGCAGAGGAGGAGCTATGCCATAGAAGAATGGAAATAGAAACTAGTTTGTATAACAGTTACTTTAAAAAACTAACTTTTTAAAAAAAGTGAAAAGATGAAGAAAAGTAGCAAGACCTCAAAATATGAGTTTTGTCCTAGTGGGCCTAACAAAGATTCCAATTGCGTTTACCATCTACTATACAAATACATTTCCTTACTACTTTCTGAATCTTCCACTCCTCTCCAATCTTTGAATTATCTAAACTATTTCATTCATTCATTCATTTTTATAAGCATTTATTGAGCCTAGTAGGACTAGGCACTATGCAAAATTCTGGAGGTAGAATGGTCAGTTAAAGAGAAATAGATCTGCCTAAAATTTCTTATATCCTTGTGTTGGTGAAAACAGACAAATAAACAAGTAATAAAAATACAGTAGCCAAACATTATCATGGGAGAAGTTCAGGGTGCTCTGGGAGCATAAAAAAAAAAAAGAAACCCGTTGTTGTCGAGTCGATTCTGCCCCGTAGGGTTTCCAAGGAGCAGCTGGTGAATTCAAATTATCAACCTTTTGGTTAGCAGCCAAGCTTTTAACCACCGTGCCACCAGGGCTCCTAGGGGCACGTAATCCAGACTTGGGGGCCTTAGGAAGGAATTCTGGGCAAAGTTAAATCTAAACTCTGAAGTATGAGTAGTTGTTAGCCAGAGGAAATAAGGAGATGAAAAAGCGCATCCTAAGCAGAGATAGACAGAGCTAGATAGCTGCTGTCGAGTAGACTCTGACTCATGGCAACCTTATGTATCAGAGAAAAAAATGTTGCCAGATCGTGCTTCATCCTCATGATCTCCAGCATGTTTGAGTCCCATCATTGTGGCTATTATGCAAGTCCATCTCTCCGAGGCTCTCCCTCACCCTCGATAGCTCTCTACCTCACCAAACATGATGTCCACCTCCAGCGATTGATCCTTCCTGGTGATGGGTCCAAAGCGAGTGAGTTGGACAATGTTCTCTTGTGATCCATGGGGTTTTCATTGGTTGATTTTTGGAAGTAGCGTGTCAGACCTTTCCTCCTAGTCTGTCTTAGCCTGGGAGCTTTGCTGAAATCTGTTCACCATGGGTGACCCTGCTGGTATTTGAAAAACTAGTGACACAGTTTCCAGCATCACAGTTACCACGTGTACATCACCACAGTATGACAAACTGACAGATGGGTAGTGGAATCTAAGCATAGGGAATGACATATGCAGCAGAGACCCAGAACTTGAGAACAATCATGGCACATCCAGTGAACTGAGAAGCAGTTGGTATGGAGGAAATGCCCGTCCACTTAGAAAAGTGGTGGAGCTGGAGAGACAAGTTGGCTGCAAATCAGAAAGGGCCTCATCAGCAATATGAAGGTGTTGAGGGAGTAATCAGTGAAATGGATTCTCAGATTTGTTTCCTGGATAGAGCGCTGTTACTGAAATGTGGAAGACTGACAGAAGGAGGCATTGGGGAGTCAAATGCAATAATATAGGTGAGAGCTGACAGTATTTTGAACTAGGGTATTGGAACTAGGGGTTGGAAAGAAGTTGACACATATATATAATATTTAGGAGTAAAATGATAGTACTTGGTGAATGTATGAATGTAAACAGGTAAAGGAAAATGGCCTTCCAGTTTTCCCGGCTGATCACTGAGTGAATTGGGTTGCCTTTAACTGATCGAGTGAAACATAGAGTTGGTGGGAACAGAAGGGGGACAGAAATGCTAAGGGTTGGGAAGATAAAGAGTATAGTTTTAGAAAGTGCTTTTGGAATATTCTAGAGCTTAGAACAACAAGGTCTAATAAAAATATAGGGTGAACCATCTATGCAATTTAAAATTTTCTGGATTAAAAAAGTAAAAAGAAACAGATACATTAATTTTAAAAATGTATTTTGATTAACCCAGTATGTCCAAAATATTACCAATGTTTAATCTGGATAAAAATTGTTAAAAAGATATTTTACATTCTTTTTTTTTCCATACCAAGTCTTCAAAATCTAGCATGGATTTTACACTTAGAACACATGTAAATTTAGACTAGCCACATTTCAAGTGCTCAATAGGCTCATGTGGCTCTTGTTGTTGTCGTTAGCTGTTGTTGAGTTGGCCCCGGACTCATGGCAACCCCATGTGTTACAAAGTAGTACTGCTTCACAGGGTTTTCTTGGCTATAATCTTTATGGAAGCAGTTCTTCCACTCAGCTGCTGGGTGGGTTCCGACTGCCAATCTTTAGGTTAGCAGCAGATCACAAACTGAGTGGCTACCTATTGGGCATAGTAAGCTTAGAGCAACGTTTTTCAAATTATGGCTCATGGTCTATTAGTGAGTTATGATTTCATTGTAGTGAGTCATGACCAGGATTTTAAAAATGAAATAGAAAACAATAAAATCAAAAACATAGTGTAGCAAGCTGAATTAGTGAAAATATTGATTTCAGAAAGATCTGTTTCACATATATATGACAGCAACTGTTGGTTGTCCCCCACTATCCATCCTACCTTTAATAAAAGAAGCCTTGAGTTTTTGCTGGGCACAAACGGCCTAGCTAAAGATTTTACTTCCTAGCCTCCTCCCTCGAAGCTGAGTGTGGCCATATGACTTCTGATGATTGTATGTAACTTTCAGTTCATGATTTAAAGAGGCAGGGTTATGTTCTGTGCATTCCTTTTCTTCCTTAACCCTGGCTGGAATGTGGAGATGATGACTCTAGTCAGAGCTTTTATCGTAGACCATAAGATGGAAGCTGTGTGCTAAGGAAAGCAGAGCAACAAGCAAGACACAGCCTGAGTTTCTGAATCTTTAAAAGTCCACTTCCGCCTGGACTTTCATATAAGAAAGACTTTCTTTTGTTTATGCCAATGTATTTTGAGATCTCTTAGTTACAGCAGTCAAACCTGTATTCTAACTACTGGCATTTCTGTTTCTTTATTGCTATCTGTATCTTGACCTTGATCATCTTTATTCTGTGAATGTCCTAGGCCACCATGTAAAAAATGGTTTTTATTGTAGGTTACAGTTAAAGGAGTCTAAATGCCACCAGCTTTACTGAGATCTGGCTTACTTATTAGACTAGAAATTTATCTGCTGATGCCATGGAAATGGACGAAAATATCTAAGGAGTTTATGTCAATGAAAAGAGAAAAAGCCCAGGAAAGAACTCCAAGGAACACCAGTGTCCAGGTGATGGACAGGGGCACCCAGATGCAATAAGAAAGAAGGGCCAGACAGAAAGGGAGAAACACAGTCAGGAGAGGGTGATGACTCTGATGACTCTGAGTCCCAAGAAAGGGACCACTTTAAGAAGAGAATAGTCAAAAGTAGGTTTTTACTAGGGCAGGATATTTGGGGCTGTATGCCAGGCTGTCTGTGTTTATAGCACGCAAAAAAAAAAAAAAAAAGAAGCATTCTAAAAGAATGCATGATTTCATATTTATTCAAAGTATAACAATTAAAATTGTTTTTAAGAAACTAGCAATGACTGAACATGTATTTGCATGATTAACTACTTGATATGGGTAGGTATGGGTGTGTACATGGGTGAGAACAGATAGAAGTATTTATAAACCAAACCACCAAACTCACTGCTGTTGAGTTGATTCTGGCTCATAGTAAACCTATAGGACAGAGTAGAACTGCTCCATAGGGTTTCCAAGGCTGTAAATCTTTTTTTTTTTTCTGTTTCTTTCTTTTATTTTTTATTGTACTTTAGATGTAGGCTTATAGAACAAAGTAGTTTCTTATTAAACAGTCTGTACACATACTGTTTTATGACATTGGTTAACAACCCCACAATATGTCAACACTCTCCCTTCTCGAATAACTTTCCTGTCCCTTCCTGCTTTCTAGTCCTTGTTCCTGGTGGTTTGTGCCCCATTAGTCTCGTTTTGTTTTATGGGCCTGTCTAATCTTTGGCTGAAGGGTGAACCTCAGGAGTGGCTTCATTACTGAGCTAAAAGGGTGTTTGGGGGCCATAATCTCAGGAGTTCCTGTAGTCTCTGTCAGACCAGTAAGTCTGGTCTTTCTTTTGTGAATTTGAATTTTTTCTACATTTTTCTCTTGCTCTGTCAGGGACCCTCTATTGTGATCCCTGTCAGAGAGCAGTTGGTGGTGGTAGCTGGGCACCATGCAGTTCTTCTGGGCTCAGGCTGGCGGAGGCTGTGGTTCACGTGGTCCATTAATCCTTTGTATATTTTGAATGTTAATGACCGGGGAAGAGGTCTATTTCATATCTGCTCTCGGTTTTTGTATAGAGATGGCATCATTCAGTATTTCCAGGAAATAAGTAAGTTGGGTTACCTGAGTAACAAGTGCTTGACAGAAAAGGGAACACACATGTTGACAGGTTCTATATGACTTTGATGTATTTAGCAAGTAATTACTGCTAGAAAGCTGAGGGGAAGGGGTAAGAGAGAA